CATTTTCAATTAACTGCAGAGTTAATGTACCCGGCAGAGAAGAACAAATACAAGCCGCAAAACTTGTCACTGATCCTATTCGTTTTAAAACACGTTAAAACTGTTTATAATTCGTTTTGAAATATTCATAAACCCACATTTCACAATGGAACATTAAACCGCGAACGGCGAAGAAACAAAAATCGCAAACACATTTTATTCGAATACAATTTTAATATTTGCGCGTTGGGAATATCTTTTCGATAGTGTTGTATTACACATGACTAAGGATACAATAACAATATATTATGCTTTCCTAAAAAACGAGAGTTTCATTGTCTTCTTAAACTCAGGTGGTATCGGCTATTACATATAGGCACGCGAATTAAAAAAAAAATGACCCAGTCCATATTTATGTTTTAGAACAACACAAGCTTAGATATACACCCAGTATATGATTGTACGCAAGTCACCTATTTACACAGAATTAAGCTCATTTTCAATTCCTATATTATAAAGCGGTATATTTAAGTCATGATAAAAAAGGGTCCAACAAAGTCATGCTCAGCACTACGTTGAAAGCTCTATACAAATGACAAAAAAGAAGCTTGCAAATGAGGTCGCAGATAGCCCAGCACGGAAGCTAGTGTAAGCATAAATTAAAACAAGTGTTACTATAAAAACTTGATAAATGGCTTTTCACAGGCGGCGCGGGAAAAAAGTGGAATGACGTCAGACTGCCTCTAGTGTGTATTTTGCGAAACTGGCGACATCTGGGCCCTTCAGCAGGAATAATTCTGACCGCTGCCATTGCTTCCTATTCGTATTAAATAGTCATCGCTTCTTATATTTCAAAACAAGAAATATTGATAAGCTTGGTCATAGGATAAGAGAATTAAATTTTATATAAGTCGATAAGTGCGATAAAAATGTAAGATCACAAAATAAGATTTAAGTTCTTAGTTATGGTTTTCGTAATATGGTTCATGAATATTTTTGGAACACCACACAGGTCATATGAAAATCCCACAAAAATTTTGATTAAAAGACATATTGGATAAGCGTTACATAAATGCATTTTCCACAACTGCAAACACCACATTCCATTATACCATAGAGGATTCCCGAAAAATCGGAAAGCGAAATTTAAAAGCAAATTCCATTGTTAGGCAAAGGAAATAAAATGTTCGCCGCTAGTGAAAAGTGCGGTAGATTTGGACAAAGCGTTCGCGGCGCAAGGCACGAGAATTACGCTAGAGCGGTTATCGTAGCGTGCCGCCGAATCTCCCAACCGTGACGCGGTCCTACGAAAATCTACGATTGCTGCAATCCTGCGAAAATCTAGCAAAGCACAGGCTGAAATTTGATAGCAAAAAACTTGTTCAAAAGAACTCTGAAAATTTAACGCCATTATAAAGATTGGAGAGCAACAGCACGGAACGCTGACGATGCCGGTTTAAGTCGTGCCCGAGTCGAAGATTGTTTTAATTTATTTTCGATTTTTAAATTATTTAGTGCCTTCATGTGCAATAACATGTAGAAAATAATAAAGTTTTCAAATCTCAAACGTCTTAACAATATTATAATTATTATGGACAGACTATAAACTCAAGAGGTGACTATTTAAAAAAAACTCGTAGAAAATTTACAGACTTATCTTTGCCCTATTAAAGATATTTGTTTTTTTATTGGAAATGAAGATAGACAAGTATGTGTTCGCTTAATAGATGAATTACTCCAAGCCATATATAATATGTAAACGAGGTTCGCGTGTACCAATTTTGGCTTTGAACATCCAAATCGCGATAAAATTTCACAAGTGTCCACAGATAATAACATCTATGGTTTTTAAAGACGTTTTTTCACGCATGTCGACAAGCAGACTAACTCATCTAACATAGCAAAACACTGTATCCTCGCAAGAATTTAATATGTACTCACGTGCATTTGCATCGCTTTCAAAGCCAATGTATTGTCGAGCGTAATAAATTCGAGAAGACGACATCGCAAGATGTCTGCGGAATGTAATACAGGTCGCAACAACGTTTATAAAACCGCAATACGGCGCTATTAGACACGGAGCAACGAAGGGGAATGCTAAGTCCCCTAGTGAGCGCACTAAGGCGACAAATACGTTGCAACCAAGCGTCGGCTCGTTCAAACTTCGAGAGCCCTCGACTCACTAAGCTTGCCAAAAATAATTCTACGGATCACTCGAACTATTGCACCCCTTGAGTGCACCTGATGAACACAGTTCGAGATTAAACTGAACGCTAAATTTGTTTTAGACCTTGTAGATTCTTTACCGCAGCTCTGTGCCCCTTCGTGAGTCGTGACCCATTTAACTAACACAGTTAAGGTTTTAAACACTTATAAGGTATGCTAAGGCATATCTTTTGTTGATCATACATATATGAGCCCTATGCTTAAAGAGTAAGTCTTAATTTGACACAACAAATACGAATTCAGTGAAACGTTACGGCCTATTTCCGTGGGGCAATACATAAGAGGTTCGACGTTACGATTCAATTTCCCCTTGGCCTGGACCTAACTATCCATGCACACAAAACTCGTGTAATCCACAAAGCCTCCCTTTAATTGGTTTACCGCAGACCTCTATTAACGAAATAAGATGGGAAATCAGAGTATTAGCATAACAGTGAATTCAATTACGGTTCACAAAGAGGATTACAACTTTAACAATGAAGGAAAAGTTAGCGGAGGCCCGATGAACTAACGTGGAATAATCAAAATTTGAATGAGTGCGATTATCAAGTTGAAAATTAAATTCCTATTCGTCCCTTCAGTCCTGCGAAATTTGCGAAACTATTTTATTTAATTTGAATAACCGGCCTCCGTGTTCATTATCGACTCCGGGCGAAATCCGAGGTTAATTTCAATCAAATCTCGTTAAAACGCGAAATTTACAATGGTACAACGACGGTATCTTACAAAATCTGTACGGTATACACTTGTCTATGACTATATAAGGCGTAATCATAAAGCACCGGTTGCGCGACCGCGGCGTGGTATTTCCTTGCGCTTGTCAATTATACGCACTAAATGCCAGCAATGGATACATCGCACCACATAAATTCTCCTTAGTTACTCTCACCACAAACGGCCGCCGACCTATCGCGATGGACTAGTTACTAAACCGTTTCCCCGCTAACAACTGTCTTTGCGGGCGAAACAAAGATCCCGCTAACAATGCTGATAAATTGCCGGCATAGCTCCGCGGACAAGCGATACCTATCTCTAATTTACGTCGGACTAAACGTACGAGAGTTGCCAATTTGCCATCTCGCGCACTCTTTAAGGTGCCATTAGTGTAAACTAGTATTTTACATTAAGCTGGCTCGCGCCATGTTACTGCGATCAGTAGTTAATTTCGTAGGCAGGAAATTTAACATTGTTGGAACTCGGTTTGTTGTGTAAAGCTCTTAAAATCCCTGACGATTGGGAATATATGCCCGTCTCGAAATGAAAGATGTAGAGAAAATATTCATTTTACTTCGCAGTGCCCGTGGAAAAGGATTATCATCCACAATTACTTGTTGAGCCGCTCCCGAGTTTAAACTTCATGGCAAAAGCTCTCATCACGCAAACAATTGGGATGATCAACATTGTACATAGATAAAAAATAAAACACATAAGAATAGAAAAAGAAGAAGAAATGTATCTATTATTCTTCTATTTTTAGTAAACTAATTGTACCGTAATTTTAAGATTTTCTCTCCGTCTAATCATAGAGGTAAAATATTAATAAATTACAGTCTAAAACTGTAATTTATTAATATGTTACCTTATAATTCTCTACCACACACTGTGTTTGTTTAATGCATGTAGTGCCTTCCTTAAATGACCTTAAAATGTCTATTTAATCATTAGAGATATTAGATAGATAGAAACGAGGTTGTTAGCGTAATACGATATTTCTGGACGTCAATTACCTACGTTATATTTCACTATATCAATCATTGGCATCAAATACATTGCAAGCCAATTAAGACTGGAAGGGAATTTACGTTTCGGGTGAAGTTGGAGTCATATGATGGTGAAAGACGTGAGTGAACAATGCGAGTCGCTTGCGCAAGAGTAATGTCTGAACAATGCCCGTTTAATAGAGCCATTCGTCGCCTCATCGCCTATTTATCCGCGCCCTGCCCACGGCACTCGCATCTGTCGCGATCCGTGTCCTTGACAACCGAAATGTCACATTTGAATATAATAATAATACTTCGTTATCATCTTGGGATGACAATGCCCCCTATTGTGCAAGTTGATGGCTAATCTTTGGAAAACCGTCCCTAATCGTCCATTATGTTAATTCTGCGATTATCTACGGCTATCATTCTTGTGAATTCATAAATAAATTAATTAATACAAAACAAAGTGTACTGCATCATAGCACTTCACTTAAGTATTAAACAAATTTTACCCTTTAAGAACACATGTATCAAGTCTATGTTAGACGATATAGATTCATAGAATTAATGTGTTTAGTTAAAGATTGTAAGGTAATAATAATAAAACTCTTTATTGCACAAACATAGAGATAAGAACATAGACACTTAAAATTATTTATTATATACACAAAATAAAACTTGTTTGTGCAAAGGCGGTTTATCATCTATGGCGATTTCTTCCAGGCAACCTTTACATGTAAAATAAAAAAGATAGTTGAATAAGTTTGAGATGAAACGTGACGATCAACAGTTGATCAATATTTAAGTTAAAATTAATTATTTGACTAACTGCCTCGTCTAATGGTGAGTGTAGATCAGACTTTCCCGGTTTCGAATCCTGGACCGGACGAAATGTTTGTTCGCTATTTTCCCCTGGAGCAAGTTACACCATCGGTTGTAGGTACTGTACATAGTCATAAAAACCCGACCAATGGCATTGTATAAGTTCTTAAAAACCTTTGTCCAGCAGGAGTTATAGGCGCATTATCCACAAAATTAGCATTTATATTATTCAATCAGTGACCAATTCTATGGAGAGACAGATATCAAGATATGCCGAATGGCAACGCGCAGCGGGTTCAATTGCCAGATATAGCTGTTTATCCAGGCGATAAGCCAAAGGCAAAGGAAGAAATGTTATTCATAGAGGGAATGATAAATGTGAAAACGCTCCGTAGTATCACATTCATTATAGCCTCACGCATGGCCTTATCAAAAACTTGTTGCCGCGAGCCCGCCTATAAAACTATCATTTGGCTACGTACGCCACCTCGGGGACTCGTTCGGATGCCGTATCTCATTCGTGGAGTAACAGATCTTATTAATCATGTTGAGCGCATCTTTGTTATGTGAACGCGATGTTAACTAATGGAGGAATGAGAAATAAATTGATCGTTTAAATCCTGTTAAGTAGTGTTTATTGGTAATTACGATGTGCAAAATAGATGTACCGGGATTCAGTTTGACGGTTTGAAATACGAAGTATTATAGTATATATAGTATTTATCAGTAACTTAATTTTAATTTATTTCAACTAAGACCCAGTATTTTGTATTTTAATCCGTTGAAAGAGTTTTATTTAAATGTGTAGTACTAGCTACAGACAATACTTCAAATTTTCGTCGTTTTAAATTCAGTTTCCAAGTCAACACCGTGCCATAAAAACAATTATGAAAATTATATTCTAAACACAGTACCGCTACAACAAAACAAGAAGCAAATACAAGATCACTGAGTGGATAAAAAAAAAAAAAAAAAAAAAAAAAAAAAAAAAAAAAAAAAAAAAAAAAAAAAAAAAAACCCCCCCCCCCCCCCCCCAAAAAAAAAAGAAGGCAGGGGACCCCGCGGGGGGGGGGGGGGGGGGGGGGGGGGGCCCCCCCCCCCCCCCCCCCCCCCCCCCCCCCCCCCCCCCCCCCAAAAAAAAACAACACACACACAAAAACACACCCACACCAAAAAAAAAAAAAAAAAAAAAAAACCCCCCCCCCCGGGAAAAAAAAAAGGGGGGGGGGGGGGGGGGGGGGGGGAGGGGGGGGGGGGGGGGGTTTTTGTGGGGTTTGGGGGGGAAAAAAAAAAAAAAAAAAAAAAAAAAAAAAAAATATTTAACCCGGGGGGGGGAAAAAAAAAAGGGGGGGGGGGGAAAAAAAAAAAAAAAACCAAAAAAAAAAAAAATGTGGGGGGGGGGGGGAGGGCCCCCCCCCGGGGCCCCCCCCAAAAAAAGGGGGGGGGCGGGGAACCCTCTTTGGGGGGGGGCTTTTTGGGGTCCGGGCCCCCCGCCCGCAGGAGATTTACAAGATCTCGCAAGCGCATCTCGTTAAGTTGTTATAGCAAGTACCAACTTTATTTCATAAAAAAGACGACATCGTTCAATTGTTACTGCAAAAACAATAGCCGCCGTGAACTCTCATAGGATAACGCAACAATCAAGATGTCATTTTTCAACTACCCACACTCGCGGCAAAAGAAATATGGCCGACAACGCGCGCGTCCCACAAAAGAGTGCGATACATATCTCGCACTTGAATACCACCCTTGGGTACGCTTTCGTAAACTTATAACGACGCATCTGCAATGATAAGCGAGTGCTTAAAAGGAGATCATAAACCGGTCAAAATGGTAGCTAATCCCTTTCAAAGACTCGTACGAAAAAGGGCAGAGTGTTTATGGCGATGATAAATATGATACCTTCTAAATGATACTTATTTTTTAAAACACTTTAACCGTTTAAAACGCGAAATATATTAGTTTAACTAATTTTCAAATAAGTTGAACTATAATTTTCGCGTTTTAAACCGTTCAAGTATTTCAAAGGAAGTATTTATGTTTAAAATTTAGCTTTTCGGGGGTCATAAACGACAAATATGCGTGATAATTACGCAACAGCAATTACAGAAGAATCGGCAAAGAATCAATGAGAAACGTGGTACATTTTTTTGTAAGATCTTTTACATACAATTACAGTTCGCATACGATGCAAACGTAACTGACAATAATTTTGTTGCAAGATAATGAAAGGGCCAATTATAAAAATATGTAATTGCGTAAAGAAGATAAAAACATATTGCAACGATTATGACGGTTCACAGAAGTCGGTAGCGTTGTATGGGAAGGTGAACGGTGGATGATAGTAATTATTGACACGAACCACCGCCTCGGGAAGGGCGGCGAGCGGGAAAAACGCAGGTACTAACTCGAAAAGTACCACGTATGACCTACGTAACGGTCCTTCGCAGACATTATACGCGAAATTCGTCTTTTAGTAATTAACTGTCTATACGCCTTTAATACTTTTGACCTTTTTTATAGCAGAAGACCTTCTGGCCTTCACTTGACTTTGACACTTGATCATTTTATTTAATAGTAAGATTACGATCAACATTAACTATATTCAAGCATGTAGTTTAAAAAACTGACAGACTAACCGGACCGGACAAGACGTTTCAAAATGTAATATCCTTCGTTATACACAAGTTTAAATGTATTAATAATCGATTATAAATTGACTTGAACGGGCATCCACAGTGTTTCGCATGTTGCCTAACCTATTGAGATACCGTGCCAGCCCGTGTCGTGGTTTTTTGCAATTTACAATCGATTTTTAATTCACAGTGCCATCAATAGAATGTGAAAATTATTTTTCAAATAAGTTTTCAAAGTTTTAATGTACTCTATCTAGAAGACAAGTCCAAGTTGGACTCCTAATTGAAATTAAACATAACTCATTATACCAATTACATATTGAAGGTTACGTCAAGTTAAATTGAGCTATAAATCACTGTCTATTTTGATACGACGACAAGCAGTGATTGACGTTTGGCTAATTCATACAAAAACAAAACACGATTTCCTAATGTAATCGCCCGAGGAAAATCGTTAAATACTCATAGTTGGTACATAAATGTAGGTTGTGGACATTAAAATAAAACGTACAACGCTTAAAAATGCGTATATCATCTTAGTTAACTTTCTTTCAAAAAAAGGCCAGTTTCGCCAAGGCCAAATTTCGACGGAACAGATGGCGCTAGCGTAGCGAATTGTTACATTGTCGTCAAAGACATCCTCCATCTTTAGTCTCCGCGTGACCACGGCTGCTGCAAAGTATCCGAAACGTCGGGTTGTAGTTAAAAATAATTTTCAAATAAGTTTAACTAAAATATATATCTCGTTTTAAACCGTTAAAGTGTTTTATTTAAATTAAGTTTGTTTCATTATTATTTACAATCGGTAGGAATCGTTCTAAACCGAAAAAAATGTTTTAAATAAAACAACGCAATGTACAACGCGTGTAAACCACTGACATCTGTTATGTGTTTCGGTAATCGTGAAACCCTTTCTTAAGATTTCGGAAGAGAATCTGCCATTTTATAATATATATCGGCTACGCTAGGGACGCCCTCCACCTTAAGTCCTCCATGACCACAGTTGTTGCAAAGAATCCGAAACTTTGGTCCGCAGTTAAAATGAATTAAAAGTTGATTAACTCATTATTACTTGTTGATTACTCACCATTTCGCTTTTTAAACTTTTAAAATGTAATTTTACACATAAAACATTACAATATTTATAAAATAAAGATAACGTCTACCTTAGTCTGCCTATTATAATTTACTTTACAATATGACATACCTGTTAAGTGGTTCCCGGTGAACTCGAAGTCGTCGTCCTGGTCCCAGTGCTTGAGAGAGAGGTTGGCCAGGGGCGTCGCGTTCGCGAACTCCAGGTTGGCGAAATGCCAGTCCAGGATCTGACGATCGCGCACGGAGAGGTACACTGAACTGTGACGCAGTAGAAAATATACGTTAAAAATACGATCAAGAGATTTTTTTCATAAACTAGAGAAGGCCCACAGTTTTACACAGGCAAAACTTTCATGTTATGTCATGCTATACGAATTCTCAATTCCAATCCAATACGACTTATTGCATGAGGTCCTGGGTTCGAATACTGGGTCGGGCTAAAATTTCCAATACCAGCCCGGTATTCGAAAGTACATGAGAGAGTACGCCAAGCCGTTTCGAATCACTAATTTAGTGTTTTTTTTTTTATAATAGCGTAGACAAGCATGCCATATTTCATCCAAACGAGATACACCGATTACTAATTCTGGCTTTGGATATTCGGAAACCCACAGGCCGAAACCGAAATGCTCACTTCACTGCTCCGTCTGTGAAAGATAGTTCGTGATCCGGACGGAATTTAAATATTCCTAGCGACCACTTAATTGCTAGACGAAGTCCAATATTTTCAGAAAGATTATAACTTGAGTCGAACAGTTTTGGACACGTGGGGATCGTACACACTCACACAGCAACGTACAGGTTCGTACGAGGCCGTCAAGAATGTTGTCGTTAACCCGCCAACTCGCACTAATGCAGTACGGTGGGCTCAAGCACTTAAAACCTTTAACTACGAAAGGGCTTGTGACCAGTCTGACTATAATAAGTTAAAACGTCAGCAAGCCAAGGCTTCTCATTGTATAAATACTGTATGGAAAACAACTATTTTAATTTAACCATTTCCACACTTGTACATTCCACTATTAATATTATATTTCTATACATGGTCTTATATTAGTAATCTTCTTAAAAGTGTGGGTAACAAGTGGGTTTGCAAAAACAAGTTTTGATGCCCAAAATAACTATTTTTCGTAGTCGAATTCGCTGACACAACTAGTGCAACGATACGATCGATTCGATCTTCCACACAAATGCCAAGATCCGTGTCCCTAACAAACAAGTACATACCTCGGCGGGTTAGCCTCCAGTTGCGTCAATTTATCGTCGATAGTGGCGTTCTGTTTTATCAAGGTCTCATATTCGTTGCAAAGTTTGATCAATTCTCGGTTGAGGCGCCTCAAATTGAACTCGTGAAGAATACCAGCGTCTTCAGTTGTACCCTTATCTTCTGCTAGAAGCAGCTCTTTCTCTGTCTTCATAGACTTGAGCAGCTCTTTGATATCTGACATTCTGCAATAGAGACAAATAGATATAAATGGACGTAGATTTCATAAACCCTTAAATATTGTATATAGCCAAGTAATACACAATGTAATAAAAAAAAACTTTTAACGATTGAAAACGAAAAAAATATATTAGTTGAGCACAAATAATCAGGATCGAAATATTGGTTCGTATTTAAAAATAGGTTGACTATTAAAAAAGCGCATTTTAAACCGTTAAAGTGTTTTTAAAATAACTTTTGCATTGTGTAAGGTCGATCGAAAAACTGATTAGTGAAACCCCGTTTACATTACGATGTCATGCTTCCTTCTTACCGATTGATTTTAATTGTACGCAAGAACGTAAGATCTGTGCTCTTTACAAAGAAAACACGTTATTAAATTGACCCAAAAACGTATGCTATGGTGCAATATAATTTCACTATTCGCTCATATTGAAATAAAATTAAAATACATACCTATTTATATTGTTCTTGAGTTTCTCCTGCAACGTAATGAACGCTTTCAGATGTTGTATCTGAAAATTATAATTTTAGTAACTAAAAATGCAAAGTATAAATTATGCTTTGAATTAACACCTCCATATGTCTAAATTAGGTTGTAATAATTTGTTACTAAGTCACTTAGTAGGCCAGAATACAGCGAGAAATGTGGAACGGGGGAAATTATTCATATCTGTGAGTTTCAGATGCGTACGCTACGAAAATGGTTCAAGACATAACAATATTTTGTTTGAAATGTATAATTTAAGAAAGAAGAATGATCTCTTTAAATGATGTAAAAAAAATGATGGGACCCAAATGACGGGTCGCTACCGATGTCGAGGTTTGCAGAAACAAATTTGTCACTGTCAAAGTCACTGGCACAGCTAGTATTTAATAGATAGTTTCAAATCCAACTGCTTTTTGATTACGGCTACATACATACATATCATAATTATTACGCTTACCTGTTTGTGTTTAACATTTTTCTGCTGTAACTTTATGACCCACTCCAACGCTTGCCCCAACGAGACCGGTGTATCATCATAATAGTTGAAGTCCACTTGATGGGAGAGGTACGACGTCGCGTCCAAAAGTCTATTAAATTCACGCTCCACCTGGAATGTGAATAATTGAAAAATGAAAGGAGAATATAGTGATTTTATTACCCTAAGGGGATGACTGATATCACTTTCAAGCGACATGTATCACCGCACCTCCTTGGAAATATGGCTTCAGTATTCAACATACGAGTGTGATTATGAGACTGGTTATATTGTTTGTATTATTGTCTTGCTTCAAGTTTATTACATATTATATTATATCTTTTAAACTTCACTCTTCTACTACTATTCCAGGGCCAGTCTGAATACCTGGGCAGCTAAGACTGGTTCTGATTGCCATATATTATCTATTAACTACCTGACAAACGTCTTTTTGCGATATATGCATTGTACTACACAATCTCTCTGAATGTGGTTAAGGTAAAATATATCTCCTCGTACATTTTTACTTCGAAAAATTCAATAAAAATAAATTAATCATAGAATTATTGGGGTTTTAGAAATAATTTTAGTTACCATTTCATCCTTGTGTTTTGGCACTTGGTTGCCGGTGGATTCATAGAGAGGGCACTTTTGTTTAATCTTATGCAGCTCCATATTCATTTGTACGGAGAGGGTGGTAACAGGATTTCCACCCAGGCCTGTCACTACCATCGCACCTGAAATTAAAAAAATCCATATTACCAACACTAGATGGCACAACAATTCTTAAGAGAACCTTGTGTCGGAATTTAACCAGTCTAATTCCGACTGTGTCATGGCTTACAATACAATATAGATTTTTAATGTATATAAAGCTATCCTGTGCTACGTGCATGAAAAATATAGTTTAATAACTAATCATTTAGGGCATCTTAATTATTGCACATAATTTGAGTTTACCTGAAAGTTTGTTTAAATCAAATAAATCTACCCTAACCATCCTGTCATAGTTAAAATAATTACCTAAATATGTCCAAAGAACATTCACAAGAATATAATTTATATGGAAAGGCCTATAAAGAAAACCTGACTTTTGTTAGAGTACATATTTAAACTGGCCAATATATTACCAAGGTCTGCAACATAGGGTCCCTTTCTATACGTCAGTATTCTTCCGCCAACCCTTTCTCTGCCTTCCAAAATGACCACCTCACAACCAAATGATATCAGCTGTCTTGCAGCAGCTAAGCCAGAAACTCCTGCAAATTATTAATATGCATTGTTTAAAATACATAAATGAGGAATGATTGAAATATTTAAGATATAGATATTAGATTATAGATATTTTCTAAATATTAGCTATAGATAGACACAAAACAATAATTTTTAAACTGCATAATCATCTGATAAATTTTGATGAATACAGTTTAGTAAAAGAGTTTTAACCACTTGGTATTGCCACTTTAATTTAACAATGTGGCTTACTAAAACAGCAACAATTTAAAGTATAGCTAAACTAAATGATAAAATAATAATAAAGTTACCTGCTCCGATAATAATAACTTTTGGTCTCTGTTTTCCTTTAGGTGGTGAAGGAATTGGTGTTACTCGTTCATAGATACCAAAGTTAATGAAACCGTGTCTTTCTAGAAAGGCATGAGTCCTCAACACCAGCACTGGATCTACATTATAAGGGGGCTGAAATAGAAAACAGGTGCTTGTTCTAGTTTTGTTATATATGAAATTACAAAGATCTGATAGAGGTTTGATGGCAAACTCAATGAATAAATAAGACCTAACAAATTTCCTAAAAAACATCAGTAACATAATTGTAAAAACCAAAGGTAGATAATATGTATTCATATTTTAAAACATGTTGTGACATGTATTTCATGTCTCTTAAAGGCCAGTGTCAAAACTGGGTTATATATTATATTTATATACAGAATGTATAATATTAGAACTTACCTCAATCTTTTGGATAGCAAGCTCTGGTGTAAGCTGTTTCTTAGGATCGGCAAACCATAGCTTTAGGATTCTGTTTCTAATTTGAATAAATGCTTGAGCAGAAGGTCCTTGCAAATCAGAGAAGCACTCTGCTTCTAAGGAAGACATTTTATCAAATGGCAGTCTTGATTGAAATGCAGCACCTTCCAAACTGCAATATGAGAGTTTCTATGTAACAGGGAAACAAAAATGTAACAAGTTTTTTATTTTATCACTTAGTGCAACTAGATTGAAATATATATTTATATAAAATTACCTGTTTAGCATTTCTTTATAATTGACTTCTTCAATATCTTCAGTTTTAGCATCTTGCACTATGATTGGCTTTTCTTCTTTCTTGTTATCATTGTTGCGGCTAGCTGATGTCTCCCTACGGCCAGCAATGGTTGTCGGACTGGATGAAGTGATCTTACTTTTGTCTGATTGATCAGATTCAGAATCGTCCTGTTTTAACTTTTCATCAATTTCTCGCGTTTCAGCCTGGCATGAAAAATTAATTAAAAGGAGTATGCATATTTTTTATATTTCTAAAAGTTACTACGCTACATTAGGTTACGTTTTTATAACGAAAGAACTTTTTTTATCTTAAAATCGAAGAATATAAGTAACTTGAAAATTAAGTTTATTTTTTTAAACTAAATACAGAATTACTGTCCACATTTTAAAAATAGCGTTTCCCGCCGTGAAGAATATTTTAAATTCCAAAACAATAAGTTAAAGCCTTTTTAAATCCCAAGATCTCTTTTACTGCGTTAAAATAAAAAATAATTATATTTTATTTTCTTATTGAAGCATAATGTGAAACCAAAACAATATTATCTATTATTTACAACACTTTTATTTTGCATTATACAATTCTTAGTTACTGACTTTAACTAAGACTAACCGAGTTCTATACTTACCCTTGCACGCTTACGACGACTCATTTTTAATGTAGTTTTAGTAGTAATGTAATTAATAGTCGGCAAATCTGACAAAAAAACTGTTTTATATTATTTTCATCAAAACAAAAATACTTGAAAATCCCTAATGATGTTTGACACATACAACTGACTGAATGGCACAGAATATAAAGCTTAACCACAGTCCTACATATTTGCCACAGTTAAAGTTACAGCCATTGCATTGAATAATGCAGAGAATACATGATCATTTATTAAAATGATTGTATTCAAACACATTTTGCATAGAATTACAGTTAAATTAAATGGATAAAAGTTTCTCTTTAATTACATTATATTATACTTAAACCAGTTACCCAGAAATGAAACATAAATCGTGTTTGTATTTTTATTGCATTATTAATAGAAAATAAATAAACATTCTAGTAATGTATGAAATATTAGACCAACACAGAACCAGTAACCATAGAATTAAAATTGTTTCCTAAATTGATTATGTAAAGGACCTTCGTCAGCGTAACCAGCAATTTCTTGTGGTATTATTGCACTTTCTTCAATGCTCCCACACGGACGACACATACACTCCAAAGGTGCTTTAGTCGTTACCTTTAATATGAAATAATTGCATTAATTATTTTATTCTAAACGATATATTTTATTTAAGATTTATTATAAAGATTGTGGGATACCTTACGAAATCTTTTATCTTCACTTTTAGCTTTCGGGCAATATAAAACAACTGTGGCTTCCCTTTCACCTGATTCTTGGCAGCAGTTACACGATCGCTCCATCTGCCATATTTTACTACCTGAAACCTAAATTGAAGAAATGTTTTCGTAACGCAATACATTTTTGTATTTCTTCGATTTTAGGTAGATAACATATAAAATACTGGCCTGAACGTAACTGGTGCATTTACCAATACAGGCGTATGATGGTATAGGCTTTGGTACACAGCCAGGATGCTGTAATACGTGTATTACCGGTGTCATTTGACATTCTTGTCCTAAAAACATTTTACATTATTAATTATAAAGTCCAGTACAAGTTTTTGGCCCCCTCCTATTTCTATTACCTGGTGGTAGTTGAACTTCTTGGCTTTTGACGCGTTTTTCTTGCAGATAACATGCTGATAATAATATCCCACAGAGTAAAATATATTGATAAGAAAACATTTCAACGTGTAGCCACAGAAGGGTGATAGAATAATAAGAAAATATTGCAAATCCAGCAGCTTATATTTGATTTCAGCGGTTATACATCGAGATTTTTATAGGTTGCGACATTAAAATCATTTTAGTTGAATTGTCTCCTGCTGTATTAACACGGACTTCCAACGGGGATGACGTACGCACTTAATGGTTATTCAATGTAAAGAATCGTAATAAATAAAATGCAAGCAGTACAAAAAATGGACCCCAAATAAAACTTTGCATTAAATAGTTATCACATATGATGTGTGTGATAGCAGTAGTGAAATATTCGACAATGGCGTCGATTCACTTGTTTTTATTTTGATTTTACTTGCAAGCTAGGATAAAATAACGTAAATTTCTGCTTAACTGAAATAACTAAACGTACTTGTGCTATATTCTAAAAAAAAAATTAAGTTTATGTTAGGTATTACGTAGCCATTTGAATTTTTGGGATTTGATGAAGAAGCTGTATATTGACAGCAAATAACATAAAAATCTTATATGTCCTCCATTGACGGCTATAAATGCAACTTACTTTATTGAAATGTGATTCTATTTAACGTAACAGTTTCAAGAATTCCTAATGATTGAAGCCAGGCTATAGAAATACAAGTGTTCCAGTTGAAGCAAGCAGCTTCGGTCTATGAGCTGATTTTTATTTGGCTTAAAGATTGTTATTTTGCAGTAACTTCTTACTTGATATTGTATCTCATAAAAGGAAACATAGATTAAATTCTTAAATCACTACCTATTCTTAATAGCATTAGGCTATTAAGAATGGGTACAGGCTTTTACTACTATTTTAATAACCCTTACATTAAAACCTAAGCAACTTATTAGTTACTAGCGGCCTGTCCCTGTCCCGGCTTCGCACGGGTAGACATAAATAAGTAGAAATATTTAAATTATAAGCATGCTAATTTAAACGACCATGAATCACTAAATTAGAAAAATATTATATTGCACGTCCTCCCTGTTAACGACCGTGGTCTATCGCGCTGGTTTAGGAGCCGCTGCGAGCGTTCAGTGTTAGTGTTGCGTGCACGTGTTCGCGAATGAGTAGCTCTATTTCCTTCAAGTCGCAGCGACGATCTTGCATTTTGTTCTACAAGATGAACCGGAATATTCGATAATAGATTCTCTGGCTTTTGGGACGCGTACACTTTAATACTCACCAGACGATCATTTTAGGAAGAAGACTCTCCAATACGCCGAACCTTTGCTAATCTCGCTTGGAAACTATTCTTAGGTAGCTGCGACCTTCTTCCAGGCATATTGCTATGAAGGATATTTATTTTAAATCAGAGAAATTAAGAATAAACTAATAATAAAACAAAAGAAAATATTCAAGTTCGAAGCGATAGCTCTGAAAAGAACTTTGACAAACATTATCCAAAGTGTGATTCCTAATACTAAAACTAAGTAGCTCTGAAAAGTACTTTTTAAGAGAAGCATAAAGATGTTAAAAAAAAACGCGTAATATTCAATGTCGTTCGCGCCCACTGCGTAAGGAGCCCACTGCCCCTTTATCGTCGAATTAGTTACTCGTGCGCGGCGTGGCGGCCGCGGCCGGCATGTATTTTTATTTTAATTTCTTGATATCTTTTGAATGAAATGTCCGATTTCAATAACTAAAAAAGTAATCATGAGGCATTGAGACAGTCTTAAATATTAAATTATTTATTTGGATAAAAATTTATAAATGGTATGGATAACACGGTCTGATTTTGATTAAATTAAAAAAAATTGTTATAGCGATGTAACTACAATAGTTAGACATATGCTCTCGCGATATTTTTTTGTAGATATTGATATATTCTATGATATTGTCAAACATTTTTTTGCGAAGAAAGACATTTAACGGCTAATTTTTTACGCCTTCCGTTGGTTTCAGTAAGAATTTCTATAGACGTCTATAGTAATCAAGTACTGAATATAGCCTATGTTAGTCAGTGATATTAAGCTTTCTAATGAAAAAAAGCATTATTAAAATCGGTCCAGTACTTTTTGAGTTTATCCGTTACATACAAAAATACAAATCTTTAATCTTTATAATATTAGTATAGATATGACGCAAATAGTCAATCAAGTTTTAAAACTATGTTGATCGATGAATTATAGTAGCTCAATCACAAGTATTATATTTACTTGGCAATGGAAACAAAACTAAAGCGTATTGCACTTTCTATTTTTAGCATTCGAAAAGAAAGTATTTTTGGCATTTATTTCAAAATGTCATATAGGTATAATAAATAACTGTGTTAAGGATAATCCAAAGTGTTGGTATAGGCGTCGCTCGAGTGTCGAGGTCTGTAGGTGCTACTAAAAAAGTTGGATTATTTTTTATTAATATAATTATTTCTTAGTTATCCCTTTAAACACATTTAATACCCAATACCCTATTTATAAATACATGATATAAATATGTAAAATATAAGTATGTAGAACGTGATAAAGCCTTTCTTTCGTTTTCGTTTTCTCGTTTTTACGTTAAAGTAAATTTATTGGTCTCCATACTAATAAAAAAATGCTTCTTCTTTATCCATCCTAGTATAATCTAAACCAAACTTGTCATTATCTTCAATCTTGTTAAATTTTCTTTTCATTGTATAAAAACTTTGCATTAAGACTTTTGTTAATTATTTTTTTATGTCATTAATGTTTGAAAACTTTAATATTTTTTAAAGTAAATTTTATCTAATTAGTACCATCGTGTAAAATAACATGTAAAAAATATTAAAGTTCTCAAGCGTTATAACTTTGAAATGTCATCTTTAATGATTTTCTTAGGCTGCGAAGCATTGTACCTTAGTAAGCAATTTCTAAGATTGAAATTACATTGCGTGAGAGGTGCGTGTATCATAAATTGAAAAAAGTGACAATGAGGTGTGGGACTCGGTAGCTCAATTGGTTAGAGCAACAGCAGGAACGCTGCGGTATTGTCAGCGGTATTGTCAGGTTCAAGTCTTGGCCGAGTCGACATTGTTTTCAATTCATTTTCGATTTTAGTAAATTTGAATACTTAGGTCCGCTTACGATGTGAATGTCTAATGCAGTTTAAAATAAAATATTAAACATTTTGTCATACATTTTATTATTCCACGTCTACTTTAGATTATTTCATGCTTAATTTATCTAACAACATCTAATTTTATAAGTCATACTCCGTGTCGTCATAACCATTATCACAAGGCTTTATCGGCTATAATCACCACATTTGTAACATTTACATTCAGCTGGTTCTCGCAAACGAACTTCCATCATAGCCCGCTCTTCATCTTCTAATCGAACCCCATCCGGGTCGTAGCAATGCGTAAGAGTAACTAAACGTTCTCGGAGATAATTCTCTTTACAGCAATAGCACTCCTGTAAAAGTATACACTCTTTTTCAATTATACATATAACATATACTCTCTAAATACTTTTCGTGTTTAGGTAAATGAGCATCTTACTTCGTAAATAAAAAACAATACAAAAAAAACATGAACCTTTAAAAAACCAGTAGGAGTTATAACGGAAGGTTGCACTTGACTATTACATATCCCCTCGCATTTATTTACAACTACATCTCCACTGCACGATCTCGTTAGGCTTCCCATGTCATCGTATTCTTCTGTAATACATTAGTGTTTTTAATTTTTATTATATAAATTATCTCAAATAAAATGTTTTATGGCAATATTATGAATACAGTTAAAACCTTTTGTTACATGAATTTCAGACGGTATTGTTTCACAATTTTCATTTGCATAACTTTTCAAAACTGTAAATAGTAAAATTTCTAATAGTAAAAATAAAAATTTGCCCGATAATGCCATTGAGTAAAATTTATTAAACTATATCATAAGAACAACTTTATAACTAGGGTGTGAACTTCAAACTATGCTTACTTGCTAAGAATCGGGCTATTTATAAGAAATTTATATCGATACTCTGTAAATATAGTGCTAATAATGATCGAAAACAGCGGGTGGTTCTTTGTCCGTATAAGTAAGGAAACATGTAAACCTTCGTATTGTTAAGTCACTCAACATGCATCATCATCAATTATTTTATAATATTATGGAATTAGTATTTATTCTAACATGCTTTTAAAAACTAATAAAAACAGCAATTTAGTACCAACTATAAAATAATATATAATTTTTGAGTGTTTTAACAAAAAAAAATTATGTTCGTAATAAGTATCTTAAAATTAGTCTGTGTGTTTGCAGCATAACTGAACTACAAAGTTTTGTTGCTCCAAGTCCCATTATACAATATCTGTGGATATTGCGTTCTCTATGGTCGAGAAGTAAATAAAATTGATGTGGCTCCGGCTACAATTTCGTTTTCATGTAACGAGTCTTTTATCGTAAAGTATATAAATATTAGGAGCTCTACAAAAACTGCGAGAGTAATTTACTTTAGCAATCAGTAGAACACAGCTTAAAATGGTTTTTAATGAAGATTTGTTGTTACTGCTTATATTAGTCTTCGTATGGGCTGAATATTTATGGGAGCTTTATCTCTCTTTGCGCCAGGTATGTACCCGAATAAATTCATTGTTCTTCTTAAGGATGTGGTTATATTATTTGAGTAATTAGTTGACAATCAATGTATTATTGTAACCTCTGACAAAAAGTATTCCCGCGTGTTCCCACTATGAATCGACTAACTTTGTTATTTTACGTTTCAGCTAAAGATATACAAGACGAATAACACCATTCCCCAAGATTTAAAGCAAATGCTCAATGAAAATTCATTTAAAAAGGCGCGCATTTATGGTATAGACAAGTCTCGGTTCAGAATCTTCAAGGAACTCTTCAACATTATTTTGACCACTGTAATCCTTTATAATCAATGGGTTTACACTGTTTGGAGTAAGTCCGAAGCAATTGCTGCTTTCTTTAATATAAGCTCTGACCAGGAAATTCTTATGAGTTGTATATTCATGACATTTGTAACAGTCTTTAATTTCATTGTAAATATGCCATTCACTGTATACGCTACCTTTGTTCTTGAAGAGAGGCATGGTTTTAATAAACAGACTCCAGGCTTCTTTATCAAGGATCAAATTAAAAGTCTTGCACTGAGTTTAGTTATTACTCTGCCTATTATATCAGTTGCAATTTATATCATAATGTTAGGAGGAAACATGTTCATAGTTTGGCTATGGTTGTTCACAACTGTAGTCTCATTGTTCTTATTAACTATTTATCCATCAGTAATTGCTCCAATATTTGATAAGTTTGAACCACTGTCTGATGGAAATTTGAGGAAGGGTATTGAAAGTTTGGCATCGCGTCTCAATTTTCCCCTATCACAAGTGTATATACTTGAAGGTTCAAAAAGATCAGTTCATAGTAACGCCTACTTTAGCGGACTGTTTGGTGGAAAAAGAATAGTACTGTTTGACACTTTGCTGGAGAAACATGATGAAACAAAGAATATTACAACTGGTTGCACAGATGATGAAATATTAGGGGTGCTAGCGCATGAATTAGGGCATTGGAAATGTAGCCACATATATAAGTCTATTGTGCTAACTGAAGTCAATTTGTTGCTACTTTTTACAGCTTTTGGCCTTCTCTTTAAAAACTCCTTACTTTATACTACACTAGGTTTCGCTCCTGGACATGAGCCTGTGATAATAGGTTTAATTATTGTCCTACAATTGATCCTTGCTCCATACAATTCCCTCTTGTCATTCTTTGCTACTGCTCTTTCCCGAAAATATGAATTTGAAGCTGACAACTTTGCTGTTAGTTTAGATTATGGTAAGGAATTGAAATCATCGCTTCTAAAGTTAGGAAAGGATAATTTGGACTATCCCATCTATGATAAACTTTTCTCTGCTTGGTACCATTCTCATCCAACATTACTGCACAGGATGGAAAATATTAAGAAACAGATGGCAAATAAGAAAGAAAATTAAGAGAACTTCAGTTTTATTATGTTCTCTATAGTACAACTTATTTTAAATCTATATAGCTATAGGACTTTTATATTATAGTCACTAGTCTAAATTTTCACTATTCTAAGAAAATGTTTTTTGTATCTGGCTTCTGTTCAACCACAGCATTGTGTATCTCCAACCTGTGTGTCATACTTTATATCAAACAAATTGGAAAATGTATTTCAATATATCGCTGCTTATAAAAAAAAAAAGGGCAAAAACCCACAATTAAGAGTTTTGAGGAGAGTACATTATAATTTATTTATTTATTTTTTGTTAATATTTCAGCACTCGTATTTTAATGGTTGTGTTTTATATGTCATTAGATGCGTATTTTAATGCTTTAAGTCGTGTTTAATTTTGCTTTGTGGTAACTGTAAGCCGAAGATGAGTAGAAGCACATAAGTCCCTTTTGCATATAAAATATTTGTTACGATTCAAATTTTATTTTCAATAAAAAGGCCAGAAGTAAGAAAAAATAAAAGTGTATTATTAAAAATGTTCATCACACATATGTTGAGGAGAAAATAATCTTACATAAAAAGAATAACATAAAAATCCTTGCTTTTGAACTATGTAATTTTTAAAACAAATCAAAAACTCAACTTTTATTACAAAGAAGTTGTTTTACCACCATAAAAAATAGATAAATAACAAAACATTAAAACTTCAAAACTAAGAAATTTTAAAAGGCGGTTTATTTACTGCTATTACTATTTTACGGTTAATGTTGTTTAACGAATTTAACTATGTTTAATTAGAATAAAGCTTCATAATACTTTGATATAAAATACCCTTTTTTGTATCGGAACATTTAGGTTTTAAGAATACAATTTTTTGTGTGTGTGGTAACTACTTTAGAGTGGATTCTTGGTAAGTGGGACACCACTTAAACTCTGGTGTCGTAGAAGTCTTAAAAAAGAGCTTGTTTGGTTTTCTTGATCAACTTTTATATTGCCCATCTCAATTTTTCTCCATCTTTGAGGTGTAGTTACAACAAGTAAGTGAAAAACTATGTGTCCAATTCTCTAAGTATAAGGTTTTTTTTTAGTGTTTTAATGAATTTGAAATTGGGAAATTAAGATTTGTAAATTCTCCAAGATGTCCCTTTTGAGTATAAAGAGTTTAGTTTTGAAATTAACAAGGGAGGGTTTGTAAAATAGTATGAATAAAAAAAAACATAAGGAAAAAAGGGATATTGAAATAGTATAAAATAAAAAAGCTTTGTGCGTTGGTTATAACGTATTTGATTACGCGTTACACAATCTTCAGGTTGTATTGTAATACTTACACAATATGTTTTAATAGACTGAATCATTATGATAAAGATTTATTTTTTTTAAGTGTGAAAACAATAAAAATCTATCAAATTAACAACTTTTTATTTTCAGCTTCTATTAGACATGCTTCCCTGAAATTTTTGATAGAATTAAAATTAAGTACGTTAAATCAAGTCAAATGTATACATTGCACAATAATACCACAGAATATTATACTTATTTTTTATTACTAGGTTGTGAGGTAAGGTAATACCTATATACGACTTATAGATAAAAATGTCACTAGGTATAGATGAAACTTTACAGCAATATAGGTGCTTGACATAAAAAACTTTAACGGTTTAAAACGCAAAATAGGTATACTTGTTTACTACAGCTCGACGTTTTGGATTCTTTGCAGCGGTCATATTTTGAAATAAAATTTAAGTAATGTATTTCGCGCTTTACCGTTAAAATGTTTTGTTTAAACGTGTACTATTCGCGTAAACTACAGGCAGTATTTAGGTACTTCAATAAAACTCAAGAATTTATTTCCTCTGGGATTCTCAAGATTATTCGCACAAAAATCATTGCAAAACAAAAACTCTTTACCCTCTTAAAAAAAAATCTTTCTGCATCCTCTAAAGTGTCCGGTAATGGTAGACCCTTCGTTTCTGGAAGAGGGACAAGCAAGGCCAGCTGACAGAAAGACACTATAGCAAGTAATATTAGCGGTAAGTCAGCCATTACTTCATCCAACGTTACAATACCGGGCGCTACCATGGACGCAATGCGGGCGAAGGTAGTCACACCACCGACTCCGACGTTCCGCCCCAACGTGGGAAATAATTCGCCGGAATATAAGTATAGGGCGGGGACTGCACCCTGTGTTAGAAAAAAGCAAATATTTTTTAACTTATCCGTGGCAAGATGGTTAAACACCTAAAGACGTACGTACATTGTAAGACAAACCTAATAAAAATACTGTTGGGTTCGTCGGTCTTACAGAAGCAATGTATGGCGAATGGCACATTCGATCTGCTCCGGGTCACGTATCACCGTCTAGAGATTAATTAACCGTAAAATGTCGTTGCGTTTCGGTGCCAAGGGTTAGGTCAAGTCGACAACCCGTATTCAGATGTTAAGGGGTTGGCGTTATTCACCTTCCATCATATGAACCCCATGTTTGTCTCATGTGATGTCTGTTCTATTAAAAACAAAATGGTTCAATATTGATTCTTTTCTCTACCATCATCATAGTAATAAACCGAATATATACTGCACGCGTGGCGTAAAGTATATAGTTCTCTTGTTACAACTTACCGATAAACCTGCAAATCCTATGCCGGCTACTAACAACCTCGGCCAATCGTTAGTAAACATTTCTTTCGGTATCAAGAGTATCAGTACAAAGCAAATTGACGAAATCATTTGGAAGACACAAACAGTAGTCTTTCTTCCAAACTTCGTGATTATCAGGAGACACAGGAGGCATCCAGGAAGTGATATAAGGCCGGTTAATGATATCGCTAAGTAAATATTTGACCCAATGTACCCGAGATATTGAGAAAATGTAAAAAACGATAATCCTGTGCAGAACCTGGTAAAGTTAGAATTATTACATACAAATACTTAAATCTATAAGTATATAAACTTGTTTGTTGGCTGTGTTTAAATCTGCTTGATCAAATAATACTTTATTCGAACACTGAAACCATATATTAAAAAAAAATGTTCACCAATTAATCGACAACAGCAGCGTATTTTTTCTCATATATTTTGATTTAACGAACATCATAAATCCGGGCGTGGTTTGTTTTTGTCTCTTGTGATTTATAATAGTACTTTTCATACTGTTATATATATATTCTCTTCCGTTCACCTTTGCTGCTTTCTCTAAGATTTCTAGGAAAGAAAAATTGTATGCTTATAGGTATCTAGATATATTATTATGTTTTTGCTTATTTTATTTCCCCAAAACAAAATGCATCATTTCAAAATTTTGTATTATTTACTGACTCTCACAATTAAATGTCTCCCCTGAATGTTTAATCGAATGTCCTTTAGTTAGGGGAGAAAATGGGGCCGATACGAATTAAAATAAATTATTATTAATGATGTTCTATGCGACTATAGCAGAGTTGTAGTCATTGTGTTTAAAGCGATGCCTAAATAAAGTATCTTTACACTGTAAGTCATAAAACAACATTAAAATAAATACCACAAGCCTTCTCAGTCTGCCCAGTAGCCAGAAGCCATCGTGGTGACTCTTCTATTAAATAGTGATACAAGAGGAAAAGCGAGGACAAAACCCCCAGTGAGAACTCTAAGTGCCTCCAGTCTCTCAGGAAATATGCCAATCCAGCTAAAATTGTATTCCCGATTCCAAACGGCGATTGATATAGAATCGGTATAACTGTTCGCCATTTACCACTTACAACCTATAAGAGATGCTATAATAAATAATAATAATAAGTGATTGTATTAATAATACAAAATCTATATCTTATGAGGTTTAATATTTATGTTGTGATGGTCTTGTTTGCTTGGTGAAATGCGCTTTAACTTTTGAAGCTTATCCGATTTTGTAAGATTGAAGAGAATGAGAAGTATTAAAGAGAAATATTCATTTATCGAAAAAAGATATATGAGGTACCTATATAGGTTAATCGGATAAAGGTTTTCAAAAATGTTACTCATTCATGACTCAAAAAATTGCAAACACGTATATAGGACTGTACTGATGTTTAATGAGACTATCACTGTTAAGGCATTAGGCCCTGGCACAATTAATTTATAAGGGAATCTCTGTGTTTCTATAAATATTTACAAAGATTACAAAAAAACACAATTTAACTAGTGTGTAGTTACTTCAATACTCATGACAAAGGAAATAACTCCCAAACCACCAACAGCCACAGCCAGGATGAACCAGCTTATCAAAAAAGCCCAAAATTGTCTCAGAACACTGGTGAGAAAGCCCGCTATAAATTGTATGATTATACCGGCCATTAACGGACTTCGTCGGCCATATTTGTCTGCCCACATGGGGAAGAATATACCACCACATACTACGCCCCACATCATTACAGCTTGCGTAAACTAGAAGTAAGTACGATTTGTAAGTCATTATCCTAATGTGAAAAGAAATCGTTATTTTACTTTGCGTCTAGCAAAAGATCAAATAATTTATACATGGATTAACTTAACTCTAGAAAAAAGGCTAACAGCAACTTAATCAGTTAACTTTAGTTTTTTTAATCAGTTAACTTTAGCCACCATCCGTCTACCTACTCAGTATGTTGTTGTAGAAATATTATAATTACTAACGTGTATGAGCCAATGTCTCGTACATACTAAATTCCAATCCGATATAATAGTTCGGCTAAAAACTGAAGTGTCATACACAAATTCTTTACAAGGCACTAGTGGTATTAATGCCCGATCCATGTTCGGGGCAACAGAAAGTATGTCGGGGTCAAATATGAGACAAGGATATTCTTCGATTTTCTATGAAAAAAGTATGGGAAAGTAAAAAACTAAATCTTATTAAGCTTAATGTGAGGTATTAAGATCAAACCTACAGGCAAACACATTTCGCGCCATTCGTCATCTGTGTACTGAGTGAAAGATTTTGGCTTAACGCAATAAAAATTTTGCGGTGGCGCCAAAAACAGAATGTTTAGTTGATACCAAGCCATTGGTAGTTTTAATAACGCCATGAGAATAGCAATTTTCAACTGCCATTTTCCAAAATCGCCGACTATTTTGTAGGTGATATTATCTAGGGGATCTTTACTGGATTTCTGGTGGTCATCTAGAAATACACGAGAATAACATTTTAACATTTAATCAATACTTTTTGCAATACGAATATTAAAAATTGTTTTGTACCGTTTTCGTTTTTCTGTTTATATAAAGTCAGAGTAGACGACATATTTTCCAGTCTTAATATCTTAAAATAATTTAATGCTTTGCTTCATCGATGCACGTTGAAGTTTGCAGATTCAAATTAATGTCAAAATTCGCGCTCATAGGTATATTATGTCAAGCTGTTGTCATATTTTATTCTGCGTAGAAAGTTTTTATATTAGACTTTCTTGGCTGGAGGTAAACTTTAGGGCGATTTGCAAATCATAATAAATAATCATTTGCTGCACCAAAATTACAAAATTCTCGATATAGTAATATCAAGCTTTGGATGTAAACTCGGCTAAAGTTAAATCCCGTTTAAGTTGTTTTGCACATCTAGATTTAGTAACTCTTTCATTCAAACATTCGATCTACAAGGTTCCGTTTCTATCTAAAACTTTAACCGTTAAGTAAGCAAAATCAAATTCGTCATCCGACTAAGTGTTGTCACGTAGAGATTTTCTGTGTAATATTTCATTTTAATGAAGAGATCAAGAGCGCTCAATTTCACCAGCACAGAAATTATGCACCTTATAAAAAATTTGTATGCAAATTTATTCTAGTTATTTTTTTAAATGAATATTGATTCATATTATTCTATACGTTTAAAACGCGATATATTAGTTAAACTTATTTGGAAATTATTTTTAACTTCGGCCCGACGTTTCGGATGCTTTGCAGCAGCAGTCTCCCCGTGACCACGTACCGTAATCAGGCTATAACCAAATCATCAAGGGTTTGATTTACTTTGATGTACTAAATACCAATGTACGAAAACATTTTTATAAAAGCCAACATCATATAAAGTCGTCAAAAATAGTTTTGAGGACATATGTTTCAAATGCATGTTAACGAGCTTTTTCATTAAATAAATGGTAGAGTTAAAAGCAGACTAAGTTTATGGGAGGGTAAATTAAAGAAATTTTTAAACAACGTCCGTATCAAAACAAAGGCAATAACAACTTTTCAAATCAGTCATTTGTCAGTGATCCGGAATGTCAATTGGTAGCGCGCCGAAGACAAATTATACGCAAATGATTAATTAAGTAAAAATAATAAATAATCAACAGATGTTGGGCATTAAGAATTTTATTTAATGATAAATTCGATATGCGAACTCAAATGGTACTTGAATAACAAACACATTTTGAAATACTTTTTTTTCTTAGCTGTATTACGAGTTATTATTAACATTTCCTAGAATGGACAATAACTTTTTTTTATATACATATATATAGTCGCCGTAAGATACGACTTGTTCGTTGTTTTTTCAAATGCCTAGAAGAGAGAGAGAAATAGGATATTTGTATTTATCTGTGCAATACTTTAATCTGTCAAGTTGCTTGCTGTTAAGTCAACAGTCAAGATCATTAATTTATTATTCCTTCTCATGCTTAAATATGTACCTATTTTATAAAATCGTTTAAATTATTGTTTATTAACTTGGAATAATTAAGCGATATTACAATTTATATATTTGTACTGAATGCGTTTGATAGATAGCTAGAAATATGCCTTTGGCTAATGCCACGGATCCTTGGCGAATGCAAAATGTTGGAGATGTCTCGGTAAATATGAAATAAAAATATGGTGCTTGTTTTATTGTATAATTATATATGTATCTCATCGATTAAATATTAGACTAATATATTCTAAACAAAGATATCTTATAAAAATGTCTGACCTTCACACACTGTGTATTTAATAGACTACATATTGTTACGCCCTTTAGTGTTTGAATGTTTTGTTTGTCTATTAAAGATAGGAAATGACTAATTAACTTGGTCGTATCGTGATTTCATTTAATTTCCCGATGCTTACAATTCTGTGGTTTCTTTAATTTTATTATTGTTTGTAAATTGAAAACGAATGACGCGCTTAGTGACTCTTGGTATGCAAGAAGCTTTAATGTGTGTCAAATTGTTATTTGTTCAGCGTGGCATCGCCTCACAAGCAGCTAACTGTCTTCCAATGGTTGTCGAAAACTCAGGGTCCCGACAGACCTCCACAACAGAGAGTCTCGAATCAACTGTGTCAAATGCTAGTGATCTGAGTTTTGAAAGAGAAGTTGAATTGCAAGATGTAGTAAAAGAAGGTCATGAGAAGGCAGATCCATCGCAGTTTGAACTACTGAAAGTTCTGGGTGAGGGGTCATTTGGGAAAGTGTTTTTAGTGCGGAAAGTTAGTGGTCCTGATGCTGGTACATTATATGCTATGAAGGTAAGACCTTAGAAGGAAATACATAATCAAAAAGCCGAATTCTGCTTTAATTATTGTTAAACCTTAGGTACACTTTATGGCATTTTTAACTTTTTCTATATTACAAGTAGTTACTTATACTAGAATTATAAGGTTTAGCAGTTGCTAAACCTTATAATTCTATTCACTATCAATATTATTATTAATGTTCATAATGGGTCCAACACTAATACTAAATACTGTCCAACAGCTCCTAATTAGTTTAAGTGTTGAATATAAATGAAGATAATGTCTAAGGAACCCTGAGTCTAATTTATTGAATTATGGATATTTATATTTGTAATGTGATTAAATGTATTGGTATTTGATTATCTTTATTTACTTCTCACATTTTATCCAATACTTACATGTTAATTAATTTCTAGGTTCTTAAAAAGGCAACCTTAAAAGTAAGAGATCGCGAACGCACAAAAATGGAAAGGAACATTCTTGTAGAAATGGGACATCCATTTATAGTTAAACTACATTATGCATTTCAAACTGCAGGAAAACTATATTTAATACTAGATTTTTTAAGAGGCGGTGATCTCTTTTCAAGGCTTAGTAAAGAGGTATGATTTTATCTTTAAGATACTAATATGCTTTACATTAAAATTAAGCCACACCAATAATTCTTATTCGGCATTAACTCACTTTACTTTACTACAACCAATATTCATTAGGTAAATATACTTGTGTTAATTGCTTATTGTGATGTTGGAAAAACCATATTTGATACACTCTAAATAGATGTTATAAATAACATTGATTGATATGAAACCTGCTTTGCTTACAAATATGTGTGATGTAATCTGTAAAAAATCATTGCCTATTTTTGAAGTATTTTTTATATTATGTATGTCATCCTTATACCAACAAATTATTAATCAAGCCTTTTGATGACCTTGAAGCCACAACATTTGATTGTCTTTTTATATAAGCCCTCAATCAGTCATACAATCATAGTCAACTCAATAAAAAAATTACGAAACCAAATTTCAGGTAATGTTTACGGAAGAGGATGTGAAATTCTATTTAGCTGAATTAGCATTAGCATTAGAACATGTGCACAAATTGGGGATAATATACAGGGATCTCAAGCCTGAGAATATTTTGTTAGACGCTGATGGACACATAGCTCTCACCGATTTTGGTTTGTCTAAGCTACCACCGAGTAGTGACAAAGCTTATAGTTTTTGTGGCACAGTTGAGTATATGGCACCCGAAGTAGTTAACAGAAAGGGGCACACATTTGCTGCAGATTGGTGGTCTTTTGGAGTGCTCATGGTATGTTGTGTTAGCTGTTTCTGTTGTTTATTGTTTGTTTTAGAGTAGTACAAACTTTAGACTTTCAAGCCCATTTCAGAAAACAATTTACATGCTGTGCTCTATATATGTACACATACTATGAATTATTTCCATACTAAAACATCTTTTTACAGGATTACTATTGATTAATTAATATTAAATATATATCATTGTTAAAATACTTTTTACCATAAGCATATTATAATAGTTTTTCCTACTTATTAAATTTGAACACCATCAATGTGGTTAATTTATTATAGTTTGAAATGTTGACTGGCAACCTACCCTTCCATGGAGCCACCAGGCATGAAACAATGACTCAAATACTGAAAGCTAAGCTCGGAATGCCAGCTAACCTCAGCGAAGAGGCTCAGTCCTTGCTGAGGGCTCTGTTTAAAAGGAACCCACAGAACAGGTAACTTATATTTGATCATACTTCCTACTTTTGAATGTTCTTAATTTATTTTTTTTACCTATAACATACATACATTGTAATATGAATTCACCCTATTTTATTTGCAGATTAGGCGCTGGCCCTAATGGCATTGAAGATATTAAGAAGCATGAATTCTTCGCGAATATAGACTGGGATGGGTTACTAAAAAAGGAGGTTAGGTTACTATTATACTGCTATGTGTTATTTTATCATTTAAGTTTCTCGCCACCATTTACTTGTTTTATATACGAGTATATAAACAGTAAGGAATCAATCATCAATTAAATAGTAATTAAAAATCTATTTAGATGAGGTGGGACTTGAACCGGTAACGGCATCCAAATTTCTTATGTTTTCCAAATTAATAGTGTTATGACAAAGAATTCAATGCGAATATAATGGGTGTCTTTCCAGCTTCTCTGTGCCCTGACACTTATTATTGTTTTGGTTCTATATACAATTATAACTGGTTTTGCTTACAAGTTATATGCTGAGAGGTTACATCTTGGTATTCTAATATAACTGGATCCTGTCTGTACCCATACTGTATTTACATTAACAGTAGTCAAGGGAAAGTAAGTGAAAAACTAAATTTGTCCAGGTTATCCCGCCATTCCGACCAGCTGTGGCTCGGGCTGACGATGCGTACTATTTTGATTCTGAGTTTACGTGTCGAACTCCACGAGACTCCCCCGGAGTGCCAGCATCCGCTAACGCCCATGAACTCTTTCGGTAAAGTACTAATTAAACAAACATACAACAAAGTTCTTCACTTTGGTATATGTCAATGTCGATTTTCATGGATTCACGCTAGACCGATGATTGCCTCACGGGAATTGTCGATATTGTCTTGCTCCACCACTGTGTGATACTGATATTGCGATCGTGCTTGTACTAATTTAAGTTACCAATTACTACTAAATTATAATTTGATACTCCTCACAAAGGTATTGAAATTAAATTGTATGCGATAGTTCCCCAAAAATTGATATTAACTTCAAAGGAAATTCCTAATTCGGTCCAAAATGTTGGTAAAGTGGTAAAAATTTACTTTCGTTTTATTATTATGATTTGTTTACTCGAATTTTTCCTCATTCCGTGATATGATAAGATTGGTATTTATTGAACCAGGATTATTCAGGCTAGAGTGTTGAATTTGGTTCTTTCATTGTATACGATTCGTCATTTCATTATTGTTTGATTAGCCTTATCATTGTTATGGTTTTGCAACTCTCACTATTATACAGAAAATAAAATAATGTGTCGATATTTCTTTCTAGTCTACATAACAACCCGGGAATAACTCTTCACCTATTTATTTTTGAAAAACTCCTAGTTATAGTTATATTTTTTTTTTTCTTTTTTATTTTATGTGATTATTGAAAGAAAACATATGTCTAATCAATTTAATCTTTTACATATTTTTTGGTTTCTGGAATCGATTTCATAGTGCATGCAAAGGAAGACAATTTTCCACTGTTTCTTTGTGATGCCTAGAGCCTTCTATAATAAATGTTCAATATGCACCACAAACATATTTGTTCAATTCGAAGAACAAACAAAACTTAAAAAAGCTTATTAAAGCTTTATATTATTAGTATAGATTTTATGTTGCATTCTTGTTAGGTAAGTTCTTTTCTCCTATGTCATGTCTTGTCTGTGTTATTGATAGAATATTTAACAGACTAGTGATTAATAAACTTCTCTACAATTCTTAACAGAGTTGAACCCGAGGGAAGTCAAGTGACTTAACAAATGTCAATAATCTTCATTACATACTTTTTTTTCGGGGGGCACAAAAAAAAAACACTAACGGCTTAAAAACCAAAAAAATTTTTTAAATTTTTTTTAAAAAAATTTTTAAATGATTTTTAAATAAGTTTAATTAATATATCGAGTTTTAAACCGTTAAAGTGTTTTATTTAAATCTTCATTACATATTATTTCTGCGATTTCAGAGGATTCAGTTTTGTAGCCCCGTGCCTGCTCAACGATGATAACAACAAAACGGTCACAAATGAAAACCAAAATCACGCCGTGCAAACCAAGACATCTACTGAAGAGTTTTGGGCTGGCTTTGTCAATAGAAATAACTTTTTTGACGAATACCGGTAACATGTTTTCTAATTCTTTTATGTGACACTACGTGTAAAACTACAAAGATGACATTTGAATATCTTGAAAATCATCAAATATAATAGAAATTGTTGAAGAAGACAAATATATTATTTTATTCATTTATTTCCAAGATTCTGCGATAAAAGGCAATAGTTTTCCATTAATGTCCCACTGCTGCACAGGTGTCAATTATAGAAGGATGCAGATCAGTGCGGTAGATTAGTAGGTTTATATACTACCGCGCTTAAATTTGCGCTAAAAACCTGGGCTCATGGCTCGAGCAGGATAAAAAGCATAAGTCAGATTAATCACTTCAAATTTAAAAGTCTATGTAGATTGAATAAAAGTGATGTCATCAGTCTGACTTGAAGTGGCATCCACAGCGTTCCGGGCTGATGCTCTATCCAATTTCTTCAGTCTAAATAGATTTTTATTTTTTATAAATCCATCAAACTATAATAAATATTTAAAAAAAATATTGAATTTCAGACTAATGGGTGAGCTAGGTACCGGATCATTTTCCGTTGTTCGCCTCTGTGAGCACAAAACATCAAGAACGCAATATGCTGTGAAAATCATGGATAAGTTACAATATGACCCGCGAGAGGAAATCGAAATATTACTCAGGTAAACGTGTACGAAACTCATATTATGAATTCTATTTTAAAAAATATTAGAACAGTTAACATATATTGCCGTTTCACATCATTGATCTTTTAAATCTGTAAGATTAATTACTATTGTAAAATATTGTGACTTTATTAAGTTTGCTTTAATTGTATATAAACAGTACGGTAGACAGGAGTGTAAGTGAATGCGATTTCAAACATTTGTTTTTGGTCCTTTGAGCCGGAGTTTTAGAAGGATAATTTTGATTTTAGATATAGCCAACACCCTCACATAATAACTCTTCGGGGCGTATACGAAGAGGGCGGTCGCATCTTAGCGGTAACAGAGCTTTGTCGTGGTGGAGAACTTTTAGAACACATTACACAGCGCCGTTATCTGCCTGAAAGGGAAGCGGCTCCAATCCTGCGCAACGTTCTGCATGCTGTGCACTATTTGCATTCTCACACGACAGTTCACAGGTTCAAAATATGTTTTAAGTTTTATACGATTAACAAACTGCTATTAAATTGTATTTCGATTCTAGGAATATTTGAAGTTTCTCTTATTAGATACTACTTGTAGTTTACGCGAGTAGTACTAGTATTTAAATAAAACATTTTAAAGGTTTAAAACGCGATATATTTATTAGCTAAACTTATTTGAAAATTATTTTTTCCCCGCGATGACGGCTGCTGCTAAGCATTCGAAACGTAGTTAAAATAAGTTAACTATCAATAATATATATCGCGTTTTAAACCGTTATAGTGTTTGAAAGTTTATATTATATATATTCATGAACATGAACGTAATTAAAACACAGTTATAATTCATTTTACAGGGACATAAAACCCTCAAATATTTTATTTGCAACCGCCAACAAGCGCCCTGAAGATATACGTCTTGTGGACTTCGGTCTCGCCAAGCAACTACGCGCTGAAAATGGTCTTCTCATGACCCCCTGCTATACGGCTAACTTTGTCGCTCCGGAAGTCCTCAAACGCGCCGGATACGATGCAGCCTGTGATATATGGAGTTTAGGTATTCTCATACATGACTTAATATACTTTAATAAATTCCTAAAAATCTGAATAAATATATACTTCTAAGCTATCTTCAACTACTAAGTTACAATATTTAACTTTTTCTTGTAAATTGATAATAATTGTATACATATCTTGTATGCAAAGCTACTTGTATGTTCGAGCTGTTTGGTAAGTGTAATTGAGAAATAGTTCTCAAATTTATCGTCTTCGCTTAAACGAGAAACGCTCAACATCTGATATCATCTACGTTTGACGGCGAAATGTCGTGTACATTTTCTCGTGCATGAGTCCGGAACAGCGCTGAGACCTGAACTGTTGTTTAATGTAATGAAATAGATCGTAATACTTTCAAGGGTACAATTACTTACATCTTATTTTGAAATTTTATTCTTCTTTTTATTCTATACTTCAGGTGTTTTGGCGTATATAATGTTATCAGGGAGGACACCCTTCGCTACGACGGGCGATGACACGCCGGAAGCAATCCTCGCTAGGATCGAATCTGGAAAGGTAAAGAATAGACAAAGATGACGTCATTCTACGATATAGAAAAGATAACGTTCTAACCAGTTTGAAGATATATTAAGTAAATTTTATTGCGTAATATAATAATTATTATAAAAACTATTTACTAAGAAAGAAAACAAATACTTTGAAAATTACACGCCTATGTTGAATATTTTATGTAATGGAGATAACTTCGTGCTGCACCTAGCAATTAATTGTTGACACTAACTCGACGTAAATAAACATTAAGACGTTTTTAAAAGTTCTTAAAGATAATACGAATTGTCTATATGGAGATGAGTAGATAACTTCTAGCGGACAATACTCATTTCTGTATTTTGCGATGCTTTTTCAGTCAATATTAGTAGGAGTCATATTGAAAAAGGCACGAAAACGTATAATTAACGATTAATATTAACCGATCAGGTGGAAGTATCCGGAGGGGCGTGGCGTTACGTGTCCAATGAGGCACGCAATTGCGTCCGACGTATGCTCCAATTGGAACCGTCGCTTCGTCCTCGTGCTGCGGAGCTGCTTCGCGAGTCGTGGCTCACTCGCCCTGGTCCTGGCCCTGCAACTGACCCACCCACACCAGACGACACACCGCCGGCTGCTGATCTACGGCGTGCAGTCGACCTTACTTTCCAGGTGATTAGCTATATTCGTAGCTCTTTATATAGTGGTGAAGTCCCGTTACTAAATAATTACCTACATGTTAGTAGCAAACCATGGCACAATGGTTGGATAGCTTTGACAGTTAATTCAAGCTATATTTCATCAAAGTCACGCTATGTTTAGTATAGCGTGACTTTGTATTTGTATTTATATACATAAATCTGAAACAGGTTGCAATGGTTCACAATTATTTAAATGCATATGTCACAGTACGTAAGAGTAATTATTTTACGACGTTTTAACAGGCGATGACGTCAGCGCCCTTAACGCCTCACGTCCTTGGTCCCGTTTCTCAGTCGACTCTTGCGCAGCGCCGCATCAAGCCACAACGAACTTTCTCTCCAACACAATTGTAAGGCGAATTAACCCATGAGTCAATTCTAAACTATATGAAAAGATAATTATCGAACAGACAAAAGATCGTCGAAAAAAAATGCTCATAAATAAGCGAATATTGATTTGACAGAGTAACAACTGGTTTGTATGTTGGCATAATATTCGAAAATGAACAAAATGAGTTAATACATCTATTTAATTAAAATTCACATACATCTTAGAAACGCAACATTCTACTCAGTCATGGGCTCAAAGTTTTCAATTAAATTTATTTGTAGAAAAATATTAACGATACTATATATAACAATGTGTACTACGTATAAATACGTAAGCAAACCGTATACGTTAGCATAACCACAATTCAGGACGTAAATCACCAATAAGTAGTACTATCAATTTGAAGTACTTCGTATGGTTTTACTTATTACTATTTACTGCGGGTTAAAGATGTGCATATCTAAGGACTACTTCTCGTCATACCATTTTTTCGTCTGACTTCATTGCTAAAAATATAACAAAACTTTAGCTGAGTTATTTTTTTAAGTTTGGTGTGGGAACGATACAAAATATGAGATACAAAAGTTTAAATACCTTTTAACTCAACCGTTACGATAAATCGTATAGGCTAGAATCAATGCAAGAACGTATTTCGATTTTTTAATTTAAGTTTTAATTAGAGAACTTAGTTTATCAATTTCGACATTCCCTGTCATATTTTATGATTAAATGCTCGTGAAATTTAGGAAAACGAACGTCGATATTGTCTTCCTTCACAGAAAAATGAGATTTATACAAATAATGAAAACTATTATATTTTTATAAACTCGCTTCTTACCCACCTCTATGAGAAACTTTAGGTGCCATTTTCTTCAAAAAACGCAATTCTATTAAGGCAATATAGTTGCTTCCTATTTTTATTATACTTTATAACATAACAGTATTTATATTAATTTAATGATAAATTAATGCTTTACATTCTAAACATTAGGCATAATATAGTTTAAGGTATATAATTAAGTCACACGAAGAGTAAAGGACATATTTTATTTACGGTCAGTTTAATGGCATTAAATGTAAGGCCTAAATAATAAAAATAACTATTAACAAAGTAAATATAACATCTAACACATATTTTTAGATCATAACTGACAGTTCAAGCATGTTTTAAGAGAAATAATTTTAACAAGAGTACACATTTTATTTCTGTATAGAAAATCTTGTCAGTATTTATAGGCGAAATATTAACGTTATAATGAAATATTACTAATGAGGTTACGGTGGTGGTTTATGAAACCGTTTGATGACTTCGATGTATATTTTTATACTTCTTAATAAATATATTTACCTATTGCATACTAGAGTGGTCGGTGTTGTTTAAATTTTTACCAAAGATCTAGTGCGTTTAGTCAATTTAGCTGCTAAGTGCTTCGATTAGGATTTTCTATCCTGTATGCATTTCATTTTATGAAAGTATGTACTTTTTTATTCCACTATAATTAAATCAAATTGTACTTATCGTTTATTTTAAGTTAAAGTATTTTTATGTAAAATACAATTCCGAGAGTCAAGAGTTATAAAGAACTGACACACATTACTATTTTCCGTAGCTCGCTTGTTATATTCGTTTGTAAACTTCTACAATGGTATTGAGCTATTTTTTAAATATAATTACAGTATTGAATCGTTCTAGATGTACTCATTGGACATATCTAAGTGTAACTTGTCATTGTATCTCATATCATGGAAGTACACGCCTCAATTATTCATGTGTATCGTCAGTGCGATTGTTTCTTGCTCAACAATTATTTTTAAAGTATTCAAAATTGAAATGATCATTGTATAAACAGAGTTTAAACCATGTATCGCTGGATAATCGATTTCTTAGAGATTACTCACAGAAATTTCAATTTTATTTATATTCATAAATATATATCGAAATGTTTTCAGAAGATTACGTAGATCTACAAAATTTTACAATTCTCATCTCTTTTCCTGCAACTTTGAAGTTATAGGTAGAGAGACTTCAGTATTTGATACTTAAGCCGGCTGGCCAAACTCATGAGAATAGAAAATGCACAAATCTAGCACTAAACGTAATTAATAGGTAGTGATATGTGATTTAGCACATAATTGAGACATTTACTATTGCAAATTGATTTCTCCGTCACAACAGAGAACTTGTTATGTAATCTTAAGAAGTATTTTCTTACACAAAAGTTGTAGGTTTTTTACGGCACTTTTCTTTGTAGTGGACTGATTGACGGAATCACTACAACTCGAAATGCAGGACCAGCGAAAAGTACACATTTAGAGAGTAGGAATTTATTATGGGGATGTGTAATTTTTACATATTGATCTACACCAGAATTTGTTTTAAAATTACAAATACATGCCATGCAAATGATGCACTGTTTGAATTCAAATTTAAAACCCAATGTCGTAACAACGGTTCAGCAGAAGTGGAACACACTTGTTTTGAGTTATCAAGGTTTTGGATTTCTAATAACTTGACAAAATTATTGATACATGTTAATTTTTTAAAAGAACTTTACACGTCCCTGCACAATAATTTCTGCTGATAGTTGATGTTATTTTATCACATCTATTTTTCTATCTTTGAAGAGAATCCAATTATTATTGTAAGTTGTTAAAGTAGGAAATCTAAAGATGACATGTAATATATTGTTGATATTGCTTAATACCTTGTTTTATTTTTTGAAATTTCCACCAAAACCCCTGTTTGACATTTTATTTAGTATTCATAAACTAGAATTTGACAATAAGTAAGAAAAAGATACACATATCATTTAAATACTTTATTATGGCATAATTTGCAGTTATTTTACACTAACACCATGTAATGTTGCTGCAACAACAGGGCCTTTACCTGCTACAAGCAAGGGACTACCCTTATAACATGCTACTTTATTATCATCTGTTTTAAGGTCTGGGGCACAGGTTTCAAATATCTTCTTCTTTGGGTTCAGTTGGGGCTCAGGCTCCCGAGGGTAGCCATCACAAGACACCAGGTCACCTGGTACAGCACTAGCAGGTGGAATTAACACTTCTACTTTATCAGGTGATGAAGCACACATTACCATTGCTTCTGATGTTATACCTCTCATCTGAAAGTAATTACACTATAATATATTAACAATTTACAATCTATGCTTAAATATCAATTGAGACTGCAATTTATTAGACCCATTACACCATGAATGTATGAATATGAAAAAGCACACACTACTTAACTTTGTAAGGTGTTAACACCACAGAGAAATCAGTCCGTACTGGTTGGGCACTAAGTGGGCCTTATGAAGTTTAAAGGCTATTTATTGGTAGAATTTATTATTAAAAATTTGTACTGGCAAAACAAAAAACTATGCAAATCAAATGGAGGAGCCATTTCATAATGATCAGTTGTATACAATTAGTTATTTTTAATTTTACCTTGGCTGGTTTTAAATTACAAAGAACCATAACAATCCTGTCCCTCATTTCTTCAATTGGCACATGATTGACAAGACCTGAGACAACAGTACGTGGATTTTCTTCTCCACAGTCAATTTTCTCTATATAAAGGCTGTCAGCATCAGGATGTTTATTTATTTCTATGATTTTTCCGATTCTAAAATCAAGTTTCCGAACATCTACAACTGAATCGTCGCCGGCAGGCTGACTAGCTATCTTTTCCTTCTTTACAGACTCTTTTTTACCTTTCTTGCTATTTTTTGTTGCTAATGTCTCGCTGTCGTTCTGATTTGACACTGGATTTTGAGGTATTGTTGCAGTTTGCGAAATCGCAGCTTTACCAGGCAGCTGATATTGCTGTTTACCATGTAATATTTCAAGTCTAATAAGTTGTGCTTTTGCGTCTTCTATTTTTGATGAGAGAAGAGTATTTTCTTGGGTAATGGCCCTAATTGCCTCAAGAACTTTGACCTTTTTGATTTCTTCCAACTGAAAAAAATATTAAGGTTATAAGTTGAAGATTCCCTTTGTAAGTATGTAAATATTAAAGGAAATGTTTTAACCTTGCTACGCAGCTCAATCAATTTCTTTTCTGCAAATTCGGCATTGTTTAAAATATTGGCAAAATTAACTGACATTTTTCTAGAAAATACCCTTATCATTTACTTTAACTTGCGAAACTTTTAGCAATAATAATGAAAGGTTATCCGTGTCTAACCTAAAACACAGTGGGATTTGTTTACAGTGGTTTACAATTTTAAAGTTGGTTTACAGAATGCTCTATTACTATTCCTATTGACAGGAACAATATAAAATAATCGATGAAAAATCGAGTGAAACCGATTTTATTTTTTTGATTGACTACTATACGTTTGCTTTTGACTCGGAGCCAAATAAAATGGCTTAAAACTAGAGATTTATTCAATTAACTCACGTTAATTAACAATTATCATTTATCACTAACTAGTTGTTTTTTTTTTTAATTTTGAAAGATTTTTTTATATTTTTTCTAGTATCCGATTAACAGAAACATATTAATCATAGGATTTGGCTTAAGGGTCTTGTTACCTGACTATTAAATATTTAAAAAAAAATAGGAGTCCTAATCAATGTCAACTGTATAAGTGATGGTTAATATTATTGGAGTTGTTTGTTGATAATCTGTGGATTTTTGGAACTGGCAACTTATTTCTTAGGATATCATTTCTCAGGATCAAGAAATTAAAAAGTTAAAAAACAAATATGGACGTTGGAATGGCGTCATAAATAGTTAATGACGTTGTTTATATTTTGTGCTGAATTATATTAATAATTAGCAAGAAGGTGGATTGATTTTGTCACGTATCATAAAATGTAACTATCGAGCGACGGACTAGAACGGACTGTTTCCTATAATGCGTTAAAATCAGATCTAAAACAAAATGTCAAACAATACTGTCGGCTCGTCGGGACATGCTCCCGGCAAAATACGTGGACCTGGAAGACCACCAAAACGTACGTGTACATGGTGTGGTGAAAGTAAAACGCCTTTGAAATATGTGTTGCCTACTGAAAACGGTAAAAAAGAGTTTTGTTCGGAGACATGCTTGTCAGAATTTAGACAGGCGTACAGTAAAGGCGCCTGTCTACACTGCGACAATGTTATACGCGGCAATGCGCCTTCCAACAAGAATTTCTGTTCTACATATTGTCTTAATAAATACCAAAAGAAAAATGAGAAAAGGACGACTTCTCCGCAGTCAGGTAATGGCGCAAATGGGACTGAAAGTAACTCTAACAATAACTCGACGGCTTCCTACTATGATCTCTATCAGACATTCGATTGGACCGAATACATGAAGGAAACAAATAGTGTTTCTGCACCGGAAGAATGTTTTAAACAAGCAGTTCATCCTCCAGTGAATGATTTCAAAGTTAATATGAAATTGGAGGCTTTAGATCCACGAAATTTAACATCAACGTGTATTGCCACTGTGGTCGGAGTGTTAGGGCCGCGATTGCGCCTAAGGCTGGATGGCAGTGATAATAAAAATGATTTTTGGAGGCTTGTTGATGCTGGTGACATTCATCCAATTGGTCATTGTGAAAAAAATGATGGAATGTTGCAGCCACCACTTGGATTTCGAATGAATGCCAGTAGCTGGCCTATGTTCTTACTCAAAACATTAAATGGGGCAGAAATGGCTCCATCAAAGGTGTTTCAACCTGAACCGCCTACACCGAAGACAAATTTGTTTGTGGTTGGTCAAAAATTGGAGGCTGTTGATAAAAAGAATCCACAATTGATATGCTGTGCTACTGTAGGAGCTGTAAAGAATGATCAGATTCATGTGACATTTGATGGGTGGCGTGGTGCATTTGACTACTGGTGTAGGTATGACTCTAGGGACATATTCCCAGTGGGTTGGTGTGCTCGAGCTGGACATCCACTGCAGCCTCCAGGACAAAAGAGCGCTACCACTCCATCTAGGTAAGTGATTATCTTTTCTAATCGATATTATTTGCTTAGCTTAAAATGTTTTATTACAAACTGAGAATTATACAAAAGTGAAATAACATATTTAAAGCATTTTATTTATGTATAAAAATTTCTGAGAGGTAATCAACCTGATGTATAAGTGTAATAGTTTTCCCATTTCGTAATATGTAATCAGTCATCATATATAAACAAAAACTATAAACAATTGTGATGAAGTTATTGGTAAAAATTAATATAAATAAATAATAATGTAATAAAAAAGACTATTATATTGAATTTTACAGTTTTAAACATATTTACTATATTATTTACTATATTGGTAAGTAAATTCCTTATCTTTTATCTTTGCAGGTTTAAGTTACGCCCTACTGGAATACCAAATCCAGCCCTACCAGAGGGAGGATCCACTGGAAGTAACAACATAGGAGCTAATTCTAGAACTTCCAGTCCTATCCCAAATGTTTGTCTTCGTATTCGTAGCAGCTGCCAAGGTGGAAGTCCAAACTTACCTTTATCGATTACTGGAATCGGAGTATCAGGAGCTGCGGAATCACTTGTAAAGGAGCTGTTGAGTGTCCATCCTGACCCACAAAAGTTAACCCGTGCAATTCTAACAGCCTCTAGTGGCTATTCAAATATTACAAATGTACAGGTAAATCACATATTTTAACTATAAGCTTTCTATTGAATATATTGATTTTAGAAAACACGAAAAATGTTTATGTGCGTATCAAGCAGAAAATTTTTGTTTGCAATAAAGCATTGCAAAATGTTATTGTAACATATTTCTAAAGAAATTTTCTTTAAATGCATTATTTAATAAAATAACACAGTAAAATGAGGCAATGTTTTGTCGTGAGGTTTTGGGTGTGAAAGAAGAACAAAACCACATGCTACTTATTGTTTGGATGTTATTCTGTATGATGTAATAGAAAATAACTTACAATTATGTAAAAATTGTTAGATATAACTTTTAAAATAAAACATTTTGTTATTTAAAGGTGTCTTCAGGAAGCAAAAATTATTCAGTAAAAGTACCATCAGATTTAACTACAGATGAGTTGAAGAACTGGTTAAAAGTGGTGTGTTTAGGTGTGGGATGCTGTGTGGGCCTCATTGAGGTGGATACAGGGGAGGCTGCTTTGCGACCCTGTCTTCTTTGTGGAGAGTCTACTTCACATGCGGTCACCAATGGGAAAAGGGCAAAGAGTGTAAGTTTATAGAAATGTCTATGAAAGAATTTTCAAATGGAAAACATGTTGTCCACACAATTTCAATTACAATACCTATTGTTTTTTTTTTTTTTAAACTGACACATATTATCAGAACATATAAGACTTAATATTCAAAAATTATTTTTTTAATCCATTAATGAAATATTGACAATAACAATATTTAATTCAAGAATTTGATTAAAACTATTATATTTAAAATGCAGGAAGGCAGTAGCGTGGAAAGCGAAGGCCCAGCCAAGCTGGCTCGCGTGTCGCCCGAGAGGCCCGAGCCCGCAAGCTCCACGACGGGGGCGCCGCCCCCTCCACCTGCTGCCTTAGCGCCACCTGAATGGTCTGTAGAAGACGTGATCGGCTTTATCGCCGCTGCCGACCAGGCGCTCGCCGCACATGCTGACCTTTTCCGCAAACATGTTAGTACTTTCTAGTTAGTACGTTGCTATTACAGCTCATTAAAAATAGGGAAGCACCTACATCCGCAAAATACACAAATATATTATATTAGATATTAAACAGTCAATAAATACTTTTATACATTTTAACTTGTTGCTAACTTATGCAATAAAGTGCTTTAACATTTACGTTCCTCAATCGTGTTGTCATAAATTCCAGGAGATCGACGGAAAAGCCCTCCTCCTCCTAAACTCGGACATGATGATGAAATATATGGGCCTAAAGCTGGGTCCTGCTCTCAAGATATGCAACCTTGTTTCGAAGATTAGGAACCGACGACATTACAGCGCCTAACTCTAGCCAACTGTATGTAGCTCATACGCTCAGTTCGTTTCTATTTAATTTATGGCATTGCCTTAGTATTAAAAGCATTTTCTGTTATGGAGATTTCTATTGTTGTATCGGTTATTGCGGAATTTCCAAACCATTTTGTATTTTATCAAGGCTTAGCTGCTTAATGGAAATATTAGGTCTAATATACTAATCGATAAGCTCATTACCCTTACAATATTTATGGATGACATCCAGTTACGTTGTGGCACGATATTTTTCGCTCGACCACGAATCTCGCACCTCTCAGCGCAAAGGTCTAAACATATTTCTTTAGTATATTACTCTAAGAACCCATTCAATATGACCTGCTGGTCCGTCTAATCAATATGTAAGATACAAATAATAATTTATTATTGATGATACCATAATTTCTGCCAACTGGAAATACATGATACTAATACATAAAGCCCTTAAAACAATAGGACTTGAATGTTGTGGCGCCGTACATTGTAAAATTGTACAGTACTAAGATTATTGTTGAATATTGCAATTTTCTAGGGAGATGCAGATAGTTCGAAATGTTTGCTGGTGCAGCTGTTTGTACGGAAAAGGGCCCTTTGTTAATTTCTCTGTTGTAAATGTATTTTGTTAGTAATGTAGGTTGCTGCAGTATTAAAATCTCAGTGTTGTGGTAGAAATTTTTAATAAGCACTCGTCTTTGAAATTGCAAGTCACCTTAACATTAGAAATTCTAAATTTCAGTCACAACTACATCTCTTATCACAGACATTTATCTGCTCTCCTAAACCCTAATTGTCTCAATTCGCATAATAAGGAACTATTTAGATTTATACAAAGTATATTTCAGTAGATCCCTAAATTAGATTTTATTGTACATTAAGCTTGGAAACGTTTTTGAGCGTGTAGTACTGTAGTTTACATCGTGAGCAAAAGTAGAGAACCATTTCTGACTTTCATCAGGCTACAAATGTCACTACATACGCAAAAACTTCTCCGACCTGACTTCATTATAGTTATTAAATGTAAATATAAGGCGTAGTTGTGTAAATATTTTAATTTTGTATGAGTGAAAATGCATTAAATGTGTGCTCATCGATTTCTTAAGAAATATTCCTTTATACGGCTGAGAGATAGAATGTTTAACATTTCTTTGCTCAAAGTGGGAATCGATGCATTACAAATACGATATTTTCATTGTACCAAACTGGCTTTAGGATTCATTTTCCGTTTTTATTGCTGAAAAGTCGTTTACTTTCTTTATCTCTCGGCGGCAGAGTTTATCGTTTTCCTAGTCGACTGAACTTGCGACTTGTTTGGTTCCAAAATATAGTGTAAGGATTTCTTTACAAGCCTTTTCAAACAATTGCTAGTCCATGGACTAACAGTCAAGTTTGTTGATCGGCCTCTATAACCTTTGGACTGAATAATAATTCCTCGTTAACTACGGTAAGGATTAACACCAAGTAGAATATATATAACGCGTTTCGTTGCATCTGTACAAAGTTAATCCTCACCTATGACACTGTACAGAAATATATTGTAGATTAGGGTCTTAGTGCCTTTCGTATTTAGGTACGGTTACTTGAATTTCTTTTTAGTTTTTTCAATATAGTTCTTAAAAATCATAATAATTTTGTTTATGTCACTCGGAGTTATACGCCTACGATAATAGAAGATTCAAGAAACAAATAACGAATTAAAACGCGATTGATTGAATCTTAGTTTGTTTGGTAGTAAGGTTGTTTGGTACTGATTTGTCTTGAATGAACTGCATATTGATTTGTTAACTATTTTTTTCTTATAAGTATTTCCTAAGGTGATCTTTCGAGAATGACTATTATGTTACGCCCTACGGCATTGGGTTTTTGAGTTCCTTCCGTTGATTTGTGCGAGTGCATGGACATTATTGTACATTTGCGTTAAAAAAAAATATTGATAATTCATCTGCCATCCTCGATGATTTATTATAATGTTTAAACATTTCATAATGTGATATTGTAATGTTATTTGTTATCGTGATAAATGATTAATGATAAAAAGTAATAAATATTATGTTGAATTAATCGGTAAGTAATGGTGTAGAATTCATGACACGATTTCGACATTGTATCGTAGCATTGCCGGCGGCTATTCACGAATCTTGTGGAGTACAGTAGAGAGTTTTACTTCGGGTATGGGCTATCGCTATCTAAAAAGTTCCCGGAGATTTGTGAATAACTTTTTCTGGGCCGCGTGTATGAATTGCCTTTAAAATGTAAATTAAATTGCTTACACTTCACTTATACAAGAATTCGATAGCTTTTTAATTAATAAGAATTTTTCTTTTATATTACTAAAATATTGGACAGGAAACTTAGATTTATGCGTTTTATTTTGTTGTACATTTTGACCAAGGCAGAGAAAGAAAGTTTGCGGCGTCCTTTAAATTCCATACACTAGTTACACTGCGAACACAATAATATATGATTTAAACACAGTTTTACTGAAATTTATCAATTAAAAAAAAACAGCAATTCATATAGGCGGCTCACACATGTTAATGTAAATAAGAATTGAACGCTTTGTATAGTTAACTATCAAGATTTTCTGAAAATGGACTATACTTCGACATCAGGTAATTATTATTTTTTCAGTTCCCTATATCTTAGTAGCTTTCGTATGGGTCCCATAGTCCAAGCAATAATATTGAACCTTAACTGTTACACGTGATGTCAAGTATGTATATATATTAAAATGATATCATTGTGTGAGCGTTCGACATTATAAAATGCTATTATTTTATTACTGTAGAATTTATAATACATAGATTTATGTACATAGGCAGATATTAAAGAAGATTGTGCATTAATTAATAAAAGTCGATTATTGCATCCGGTCTTTTATTTTAATTTATTATTATTTATATTAGTATTAAGACAGTCTATTTATGCTACACCTAATTTTGAAGCTTGTCTACTATAGGACTTATTTACCGCGTTGGTGTGGAATTATTGACTTTTATGAAATTTTAGTTAATGTGCCCTTAACAATCTTCTAATTTCAACCTAGATCAGACCAGAGATGTACTTGATCTCCCTGTACTTATTTTGGATTCCAATATGTGGATTTGCCCACTTTATTATTACAGGCGTCTAAATCTATCTGATTATGATCAATATTAGTTTTGTAGAATATTCAAAGAATTTTAATACCTTTAGCATTACCTCCTTTTTAGTTTAATCACACTTTCAAATTATTTATAAAACTTTGATTTCTATTTCAATACGTTGTGAATGTGTGTGTGAACTACTACTACACATGTTTATAAGTCCTCTGCATTATCGCAATTGTCGGTTATTACAAAGCCACTTTTATACAACCGATTGTTCGCCACTGTTTACTGCAGAAGCCTTTGTTGATCGGCGGGGCGCTATCAATATTATTGGTACTATTTCGTTTCGTCATTTGTGCGACAATTGTCATAGTATTGCGAAGCGGTTGCGCGGGCGCACAAAAAACAATATTCACTTTTACGGTAACAGCTGTCAGTCTGTTAGTGTTTGCCGGAGAGTAAACGTATCTCAATGGATTAGATCCGCGATCGCGTGTGACATCTCGAGTGGCAGATCAAGATAACAGACTCAAGATGGATCCGCAAAAGCGCGACGAAGGTAAGCCTAAGTGAAAGTCGGTTCATAAAGTTGACCTCAGCGTGCTTGGGCCTTGCCAATTTCGAATTACCGTAACATTGAACTCGCCGTACAATACAACAATGTACATTGCGCTTAACAAATTCTTTTAGTTGACCAGTACGTGTAGAATGATTTTTTTTTAGGTTTTCTAATTTAAAACTTACAGTGTATTTTGTAAACAACTTTCGCTTTGTAAATTGTTAGTTTATAGGTATCTCATTTTACACTTTGTTGAACAATGAAACCTCTAGAGAGGTGGTTTGCATTTATTAAAACTTACTAACTTGGTTAATACTCAGGGATTCAATAATTTATTAAATAGGTACTTTCGAGATAAACTAAACGAAATGCACTATCTCATATTCCGGGTTTTCTTATTCAAACACTATAGAATACTAAGTGTTTCTATATGTATATTTATATCACAGAATTCATCAACCAACATTTTTCTAATTAATTTAAAAAATTTCTGAAACATGTTAGACTCCGTCCATCTAGCATCCACCCGGACCACCGTCCACAACGATGAAAAAGCCGTGTAGTTTAATCGCGTTGTGCTTTCAGTCTGTGGATTTCCGAATATCCAAAGGCAAAAATAGGTCAACAGCACATTTTGATGTTATATAGTCTGGGCTATTTCACCTACCTTTGAGTGAACCTTATGCTTTTCTGCCCCCCCCCCATCATTAAAAAAAAAACCTTTTTCACTAAACATTTGTCAAAGTTACTTACTTTATAAAAGCTGCATTGTGGACCAAAACTTTTCTGCCCTTGTGATAATCTAGAACAAACTGTCTTTTGCCTGAAACTATAAGAAAGCTGACTGCAAGAGAAGACCATTTCTTATAGATCATAAGTGCGCTTTGTGTTAATCAATCTGTTCTTGGTCAGCAGTCACGTTGATAAAAGTTGGCCTGTGCCCTCAAAGCAGAAAGCCCGCTCTGGGAATTCCCAAAAATGTTATATTGCAAATCTCATTTGAACTTATGCTGTTGTATGTCCTAGATTGATACCATAAAAAGTTAGTATGATTCGAAGTCATACGCAGGTTAAAATTAATTGGCACATTTTACAAATTTCATTTTAGTTATACTAACGTTTATAAAAATTGTTATTGAAAAAAAGAAGCGAAATGAAGTCAATGTTAATTATTTTCTGCTTTTAATTAACTCGTAAGATGTGATATTATTTTCTGTCATCAAAATCTTCTCAAATATCATAATTATGTAGCAATAAAGATTGTAAGGATAACTATCGTATAATAACACATTAAAACAATTGCGATCAAAGTACAAGTTCTTATCAAATTTATTAAATAAACTAAAAAAATCCCAAGTAGTCTATCAATGAAGATACGTTGTATTAAATATAAGTAAAAAAGACTTGGAAAAACTAATTCTTTGGTACATTTTCCCAATTTACATACTAACAAACATCGTTACTATACGAAGTGTGTTACTGGACTCATTGTGATATTTACTTTATAATAAATTACTTTACTGTTGTCGTTCTTTCAAGGTTTCGAGATAGGTAGTATATTAAAACTATCGCATAGTTACCTTGCGCCTGCGGCCTATTTCTCTTATATTTATTTAATTCGTTAAATACTGTGCGGTTCTTAATATCTTATAATATTTAAGAAAAAAAAAGTAAGGGAGTTTTTGGGAGAAATGTAACTGAGTCAAACGCCTTATATTTCTTTAAAGAACAAGTTGCGAATGAATAAATAGTTTTTTTTACTGAAATAATTGAATACCGGGGCTGATTAAAAAAACTATAGATAATAATAAGAATCAATTTATGTAAAAGTATTATATGGAGTTGAACTCGTGTAGGAACATTTTAAACTTAAAACGGAATACAAAATAAACGATGTATTATTAATAGCCGAGCGAAATGTAGTTAAAGATTTAGGTATTATATTAGGTAATTCTAGACAATAAATTTAGGCATAATATTCACATAGATCATATTGTTGGTAAGTGTTTCAAGTTACTGGATCTGCCTCTGTCAAAATACTTTTCAACGCATTGATAATATCTAACTTAGAGTACAATTAAGTTGTGTGGTGCCCATTTTATAAAAAATATATGTCAAGAATTGATTTTGTTTAGAAAAAGTTCCTCTCTAGATTATGCTTTAAAACTGGTGAATGCTGCAAACAATACAGATATGAAACAGGGCTTGTAAATTGCGAATAACTCTATAAACTAAAATACTAAATAATCAGTTTGACTGCCTGGAACATGCTCCCGCTTTTTATTGTCGTCTAAGTTCTCTTTCCCCCATGCACGTAAAGCAAAGCAATTATAAGTACGGTCTGAATGCTCCGTTACAACAGATTATGCATTTATATAATAATTTTTTTCAATAGATAATACAATAGATGTTTCCTCAAAATTTAAAAGCCAAATTTCTAAAAATGTCAAATGACTTTGTCGTTTCACTATATTGTTATTAAATTATGCATTTAAGATTACTTCCATATATTTTTATAGCAACATTGTGCATACCTTTAATTTAAATAAATAAAAGTTAAATAAATTATATTAAGTTGTTTATTAAAGTTTAAGCTTTTCTTATGTTTTTAATTGGTAAGCCTCTTTAAAATAAATAAATAACTTAGTGTTACATCATGTTGTTGTTTGGTGATGTATTACTCGGAACTGAATACGTACTACTTACTGAATGCTAATTTGTCGCTTTTATGCAAAATGTGTTTGTCTTTCAGGAACGCCAAATACAACGCCAAATGTTGACGCAATTCAGAAAGTAATTGGCTCATTTGGCAAGTATCAGCTATGGCTCGCCTGTCTCATATTCCTCACAAAATTCCCCGTGGCCTTTCATCAAATGGCTATCATATTCCTGGCTCCGAAGACGGACTACGTTTGTTTGAGCAGTGAAAACACTACCAGTTGCCCCTGTTCCAATCCACAGTATGATACATCAGTTTTTACTAACACCATTGTTATGGAATGGGATTTGATTTGTGAAAATAAATGGTTGACCAGTTTCACGCAAACGTTGTTTCAATTGGGCACTTTAGTCGGTAGCGTTACGTTTGGAATGGCTTCAGATAGGTAAAGTAATTGGCTTTTTTATTTATAAAAATAATTAATACACATAAAATAGCAGTAAAGAAAGAAGTTATTAAAATGAGCATACTTATAGTTGGTATCGTTTTTTTTAGGTTCGGGAGAAAATTGCCCTTATTGGCTGCCGTCGTGTTGCAAGTCTCTATGGGTATCGTCGCCGCTTATATCCCAGGCTTTTGGCTCTTTACCTTCGTCCGATTTTTAGTCGGCATGTCTGTCGGAGGCACAATGGTTACTGGCTTCGTTATCATTATGGAAAACGTCGGCTCACAATACAGAGACGTCATATCGGCCATGTACCAAGTACCGTTCAATTTGGGACACATGCTTCTACCCGTCTTTTCATATTTTATTAGAAGCTACGACATGTTCCAACTTGCTATATCATTGACTTCCATCGTACTGCTATCTTACTTCTTCCTCGTGCCCGAAACGCCGAGGTGGCTGATAGCAATGAAAAGAACAGATGAAGCAATTAAAATATTAGAGAAAGCAGCAAAAATGTAAGCACATTTATTTTATCTTTTGGTGTTTAATTGGTTTGTAAAAATAACTAGTTAATTTTTATTCGCAGGAACAAACTACCCACAGATACCATAAGAGACGACATAGAGAAATACCAAAAAGCAATTGAGAACAATAATCTCAAAAAGGGGAACATTTTGGATCTCTTCCGAACACCGAACTTGCGGAAGAATATACTGGCAATGTCGTTTAACTGGTTGACTTGCAGCTACTGTTTCTACGGCGTATCACAATATGTGGGTCAGTTGAGCGGCAACGTCTTCGTGAATGTTGCGGCGAGTGCCAGTGTAACACTTTTGGGGACGTTGTGCTCCATTCCAATGATGAAGGTGCTCGGACGGCGAACTCTTCTCATCGTATTCAATTTTGTATGCGCTGCGTGCTTACTGGTGCTCTCAATTTTACCACCTGGTCCCGGAACGGTCGTCTGCGCCAGTATAGGCGTTGTAGCCAGCTTCATTGTATTCGTAGTAGTATATTTACACTGTACAGAACTCTTTCCTACGGTGGTACGTAATGCGGCGATTGGGTTCTCTTCAATGATGGCACGAGTGGGATCGATGGTGGCTCCGTTCGTTGTAGGTTTGGGTGATAAATCTCCGTGGATGGCAGCGGTTACGTTCGCTGTGTTACCCCTCTGCGCTGGCTGTGTAGCATTCCTATTACCAGAAACTAAAGGCTGTGAATTAATGACCACTATCGAGGAAGGTGAACGCTTTGGTAAGAAGATCAAGGTCGCTAAGGAAGGCCAGAAATGATCATGTGCCCATAGTTTTATTATCATGTAAATAAAATTATTAATTAGCTGTATTAAATATTTTATTTGTAATGTAAATCGTATTTTCATTGTTTCAACGTGCGATATTATAATTAACCAGTTAGATTCGGCGAAACTATGTAAGTGTTAAGAAAATATGAAAACAATTGTAAAGAATATGAAAATCTTAAGGCCATGTTAAATATTTGGCGTTAAATTGAGTTACACCTGACACCAAGTCACGACTTACGGCGTAAATTTTATATTTATTTAATAAAATGATTTAAAATAGAGATGATAAGATATTAGCAAGGTTTGTGAATTATCTTGCTTGTAATCCTACACGCTGTGCCATTTACTACATTTGCAAAAAATAAACATTGGTTTGATATTTAAACATAAAACTCAGTTTATGAGTAAGCGTACCTTTTATCTACATAAATGTGAGTCCATTTTAAAGATTGCAAAGAATATCTGAAATATAACTTGTTAAAGCAACAATACAATGCTTAAAGTGTAATAAAATTCTTGGCCCCAACTTGACTGCACTACAAATTCATTTTCAGGTATGACGCTATTTTAATTATAAGCAGTCTCTTACAAAAATTACATTAATTTGCATTGTTGAGTTAATGTTAATAGGGCAAATATTTACATGGTAGTAGTTGGATCATTATAGAGAATTATGTCCCATATAGTTTATAGCGGATATAACTCGTTAACCACTCAACATAATATTATATGTTGGGACATAACTGCAGCAGCAAAATAAATTTTAATAATTTCATCCGATTACGAAAAATGCTTATTTCTCCAGTGTTGTTCATATTCCTTATCTGTTTTCACTATAGTAAATGATAACCGTAGAATGTTTTTATTGCTAAAAGACTTGCTTCCCTATAATTCTTAGTTAAGGTAAAAGTACTTAGCCTTAGTTTAAACAAAACATAATATGTGTTCGATAATGATCTGGAAGTTTGAACATCAATATAACATTTCATCTTGAGGAAAACATATTTGTTACGGTTAAATGGGTAAAAGAAATTAGATTAGTATGTATATTCAAATTCAAAGACTGATGAGTGAGACAGACAGGGGAATTTCATAGATGTTTGTAGAAAGAAAGTCCTTTCATGACGTGACGAAACATCCCCATTTTGATATGTCAGAAAGAAATAAACAGGTTATAAGCCGTTGCCAACTAGAGTATAAAGAATCATATAGTTTTTTTTTTAATATGGTGCTAATTAACAACTTAATAGGAAGCTTTGGCAGGTATCAATTATGCCTGTGCCTAATGGTGTTCGCCAGTAAATTCGGAGTGGCGTTTCATCAAATGGCGATACTCTATTTGGCACCACCTTCGCCTTACACCTGTCCCGACAACCAAAGCTGCTGTGAAAATCCCATCTTTGACAAGAGAGACTTTACAAGGACCATCATTACCGAGTGGAAATTAATTTGCGAAAAGGCGTGGCTAAAGGACTTTACTCAAACGCTGTTTCAATTCGGTGTTTTAAGCGGAAGTTTCTTATTTGGTGTCGCGTCTGACAGGTAGCATAAATAATGCCATTTCGTCTGAACAGAATCACTGAACTTAGCTTTTATCATATATCTAATACTCTTTAGCTAAATATTCTTATGTTTTAATCTAACATTGATCTAATATTAAAGTGTATGGTCTTAATTCATTAGTTTGAATAAAAAATTCATTATAATTGAACAGATATGGAAGACGTCCAACATTATTAGCTGCTGTTGTACTAGAACTATTTTTTGGAGTTGTGTCATCATTTCTTCCGGACTACTGGAGTTTTACGATCGCGCGAATGTTTCTCGGAATCTCTGTTGGAGGAATCATGGTGGTGGGCTTTGTACTAGTCCTGGAGTATGTGGGTGGCGCGTACAGAGATGCCATATCAGCCCTCTTCCACATTCCCTTTACACTGGGCCACATCCTTCTCGCACTCTTCGGTTATCTAATAAGAGACTATGCGATCTTTCAATTGGGTATATCGCTGGCAAATATGCTTCTTGTCGTATACGTTTGCATTCTACCAGAATCACTAAGATGGCTTCTAGCAGTAAAGAAGACCAACGAAGCAATAATGCTTATAGAGCATGTAGCAAAAATGTAATCTTTACTACTATGATATAATTAGAACTTTGGTGTAAATTAATAACACTATTTAATGTTACAGTAATAAGCTGCCCACTGAAGACATTGAACGTCAGATTCAACTATATTATATGGAAAATCTTAGAACAGGACACAGAAAGGGGACAGTTATTGATTTATTTCGCACACCAAATCTGAGAAAGCATATCATGCTAATGTCGTTTATCTGGTTCGTCTGCAGCTACTCCTTTTATGGGATGACACATTACATCAGCCACCTCACTGGAAACGTTCATATAAATGTGATTGCGTGTGGACTCGTCTGTCTCTGCGCCTGTTTAATTGCAATACCTCTTATCAAAATTGCCAAACGAAGAACCTTAGTGATAATTCCAAATATACTCTCCAGTTTGTGTTTTATATTAATTATGTTTGTTCCAGAAAATATTGGGTCTCTAATAATGGGTTGTGGGGGAGTTTTGTGCAGTTTTTTAGTGTTTATTGTTATTTATCTCTACTGCTCGGAAATCTTTCCGACGATAGTGCGCAATGCTGCAATAGGTATCACGTCTATGATGGCTCGATTAGGTGCTATGGTCGCGCCGTTTGCAGCCGCTCTTAGACCATTTGGCCCGTGGTGTGCTCCTCTTGCATTTAGTTTTTTACCACTGATCGCGGCACTGCTTTGCTTATTTTTACCGGAGACCAAGAACTGCGATTTACTGATGACGTTACAAGAGGGGGAAGATCTTGGATCAAGAAGAACTACTGAAACGATTACAGAAGAAACAAGTTAATCAGAAAAACGGTAATGATATTGTTCCTAAAGCTAGGGATTTACAGGAAGTAAACAAATTGCAAACGATTTTTACTGTTCTGATTTTCTAAACCCTTCCAATCCATATTTTGGATTACGTGCGTCACCTGCTATATAATCGGTTCGTTAATCCGACGCCAGACACAACTCGATTATTGAAAAATTTATTGAATTTGAAATAATGTTATACGGATTCTAATCCATCGACGGATTTCGTAGGGCTTCACAGGGCGGGCGTCAGTATAAGCCTGCCGTCATGGCGGCAGGCCCAATTATTTGTGGTGCTTGGTATTATACCATATTAGCTGGTAAGTAATGAACTAGTATATAAAATTAACTTACTGGTCATTGCGGTAAGTATTATAAAAATGCCTTGAAAATCATTTCAAGACCGTACCCAATACTGACTTTTACGGGCAAAAGTGTGCTAATGGTCTATTCGAAAGGAGAGTCACATTACCAATAAAATGTAGAATTAACTTTCTCCATTTTTTTTGCTAATAACATAGCAAGCTAACAATAATAACGCTAGCGTGTTGGCACTCTTAGATGTGCTATTACTTTTTATGCAATTACTAGCTGTGTCAGCGACTTCGTCCGCACATTCTTAAGATCATTTAGAGAGGAATCATTGTTAATATTGTTTAGTGATCTTGAACCATTTTCGCAGCGCACAAAATGGAAACCCTCGATAATATATAATTTTCCCCGTTTTTACCACATTTCCCTCTGCTTCTTTCCTCCCATTGGTCACAGCCTAATGTTTTAGCCTAAGGACTTTCTCGATAAATGGTTCAATCTATTAAAAAAAGATTTTTAAATTTAAAACAGTAGTTTCTGTGATAACCAAGTTTAAGCAAAAAAACAAATACACTATTCAGATTTATAATATGTAGTGTACTTAGATGTTTAAAAAATCTTGAACAGAAGCTGTATTAGTTTAAATAAAACACTTTAACGGTTTAAAACGCGATATATTAGTTAAACTTATTTGAAAATGATCTCCGTGACCACTGCTGCAAAGCATCCGAAACGTTCGGCCGAAGTTAAAAATCATTTTCAAATAAGTTTAACTAATATATCGCGTTTTAAACCGTTAAAGTGTTTTATTTAAATGTGTACTACTCGCGTAAACTATAACAGTATTTAAAGCTGAATTAGATCTGTTTCAAAATCAAAAGAAATCATTGTTAGTTTATTTAAATAGAATTAGATTTGAGAACTATTATTTTTGACCAATTATATTTTCTTTGTAAATTTTTCAGGATTTTACATTCTCTATTGCCCGGTGATGTATTTGATGTTTATCAACCATGCACTATACAGAAAGATTGTAGATTTGCTGTTTGCTTTATGGGAGCTTTATCCAGTGGTGAGTTTGAATTCGTAAAATAAAAATAGTTAATATTTTACTACTAGTTTTTTGTTAGTCTGCAAAGTCAGTTATTTTGCCTCATTACACTATATATAATTAAGCGAATGTCACCGTAACTTTATATTATTGGAAATTAAAATGCAAATTAAAAATGGCTTGCCTTTCCGTTGTGATGACTGGTATTATATATCGTGTAAAATAATTACTTTTTTTGGAAAATGACCTAAAATTAAAAACTTTATACGGCATAAAATTTGAGTTTGCTTAAATTGTTTATATCGTTTTGCGAGCAAATGGATAGCATTTTCCTGATATCGCTACTAAGAATAAACCTCAAATATCTACTTGAAGTGAATTACAATAAATACCTAGCCTCTGATTTAATTATTGTCAATGCCAGTTCAAGTGTATACTATATAGCCGTACAGTAACCGTATTAGTTAACTTTTTTAGAAATAACCTTTTATTATATTTACCTTATAGCTTGTTATGGCTTTGAGGTTACATTCAAAATATGTTTCTTTTGTGATATTCACGCATTGAGGGACGATTATCACATTGACTAAAGAAGAACGTCAATGTCAAGCGACGACAACTTCTATAAAAATCTCGCCTGACATTTTAACAGTAGTTTTAATTTAAGTTTTTAATTAAAGGTTAAGTTTTCCTTTAAACATTTCAGGCCCTTTTCCAATGGTGTTACGGTACGACATTGCATCACTACGGCGATTATGTGAATCCAAATGAAACGACAATCATCGTAATGAACCATCGCACGAGAGTGGATTGGAATTATGTGTGGATCGCTTTATATCACGCGACGCAGAATAACTACCCGGAGTGCATCTGCAAAGAGCCGGAAGTTGTCGAGGATTCTAATTTGTTCGATATGATCGCGGGCGGCAAATCGAGAATCAAGATCGTGTTGAAGGATGAAATTAAGTCTGTTCCGGGTATGGGTAAGTTAATTGTTTAAGATGAATACTATAAGTGAATCCGTTGCATTATTTGTTCTCATCAATAAATTAATTATGTGAATGTCGAGGCTATCTAGGTTGCAAATTAACGCACGTTCTACTTACTTGTATGTGTTCTACATCGGGATTTCATCTATACTGCTATCGGGCACTAATAAATAATAGAGAACTAGATACGGCCCGTGATGTTACCCGCGTAAATGAAAAAGAGAAAATTTAACTTCCCTGTAAAACAGTAGACGCACTTACGATTATGTTACTGTTTTATTTCCTCTGGAAAATATCTTTCTTTCGTTTTATATTCTACTGGGCGTCAGTTGTATTGACACTGAACTCTACCAATATCGGTCAAGCCGATCATCACAAACCTTTGCATTGCAGGCGGAGCATATATAGTTCAATGCACTCAACGGTGTTGTGATTCACATTGCAACACGTCAACTTTTAATTATGTATAATTTATTGATTGAAAGTAATTTTCCATGATTTATGAGAATGTGTGGTTAATAATTCTTGCGTTATACGCTGAGCGATTTTCTAGGTTGGATAATGCAGTTGAACTTCTTTCTGTACGTGAAAAGAAACTGGCAAGAGGACCAAGTCAATCTCGCGCAATATATCGACTATTATAAGAAGATGAATGATTACAAGCAACGGATAGTGTTGTTCCCAGAAGGAACCGACCTGAGCGAGGAGAACAAACGACGTAGCGAGAAATACGCCATTACAAAACAGTTGCCGGTAAATTTACTTTTATATATGCGATTATTTCACTCAATTGACAATAATTATAATAATAGGTCAAATTAGATGATATATTTTATTTTATTATAATACTTATTTTTATTAATTGTATTTAGTTTTGATAAAGTTTATTAATTAAAGCTAATTGTGTATTATTCATAAAAATATAGATGTAAGATATATCAATCGTAAAAGTACATAATCTTTTGCATTAATTTAGATACAATTTGTGTACTAATATTGTTGCATTATTACATTATTTGATTTCTTTAAGTTTTGAATAATTTGAAATCTCTTTCTAATGTACCAAATTAATGCCAAATGAAGAGATTACCATTATTATTTAACTCATGTTAAAATACAATTCTTTTCATGAACTTGAAAAGCGAGGTAAAAAATAACAATGAGCAATTTTCCGTACGTTTATTGTTTGTGGAGAATGCTAAGACAATTTAAGAAATAACATACACTTAAAAACATTTATCGACCACATACCATCGTCGTTTGTACTTAATAAAATTGATAGTGAGTTTTTATTCTACTCTATGTGTTATTTCTTCGCTTATTACGCCATGTTTTCAAGTAATCGCGACATATTAAACTCCCTAGAACATCACGTATAAGAAACGTAGTTACGTTATTATGGTATGTGAATATGTAGTATCATTGTTGCTTTTGCCGTCACACATGAAAAATTTGCTAATAACTACACTAAATACTTTAAATAATAAAAAAACATTTTTTTTAAATATTACAAGCAGTTGCTTTAAAAATTTAAATTTGACCAGTAAAAACTTTAAAAAAGATATACTTGGTCCGGCGTCGCGCGGTCGGACGGCAACCCACAGTACGATATACCGAATATTACTGATTCGATTCCCGTCCATTTGATTGGCTATTCAAAATTTGATTTTGAATAATATTAACTATTTCTACAGATGTATGACTACGTGTTACACCCTCGCACTACAGGCTGGTCCAGCCTCTGTGCTGGTCTGCGACCAGCTGGCCTGGTGTCTGTCTATGACGTCACACTCGCTTACGACACCCCTGCGCAGACCGAAATAGACCTCCTTCGCGGAAAAATACCGAGACACGTATATTTTTACTTTAAGAGGTAAATTACTCCATTGTCCTCGCTCGTTTCGTCTTTGCAAAGTGTCTAACGAAGTGTTATTCATTTTTATAAGACGAAATACATTGTATTCAAGTTAAAATCTATATAGCGTCTATAAGCATTAGTTTGGTAGAATAGAAAAGAGTTTAGTTGAAAAAAAGATAAGGTAAGTTCAGTTCTACGCATTGCGAGGTTCTAGTGATGACTTGTTTTCGTAGTCAAATATACTTAATTCTGCTCTCTACAGACATGTAGACGTGTAGGACATGGTAGCTCCTGTGGTTAGAGCAACAGCACGGAACGGTGTGGAGACCGGTTCAGGCCCCGCCCGTGTCTGAAATTTATTTCAATCTAAAATCAATTTTTAATTTTTATAGTGTCGTCATGTGCAATAACATATGGAAAATCTTAAAGTATTATGATTCTCAGTGTCAGAAACCTTTTTTTGTATTAGTTCATTTAGGAATAATAATTTCTATTATATTACAATATATATATATATATATATATATATATATATATTATTATTATTATTATATTATAGTACAATGTGATTAGAGTATAATCGCTTCCTTGGGACTGGTTTTGTTACCTTACAACACAATAAAATTCGCCGAAGGTTGCCAACTCCGCGAGTGACATTAAATTCGAGTGCATCTTCTTTCGTGAAACCTTAAACTTTGCAGACTTGTTTCGATTTACAAATCACTAGAATTTAGACTGAAGAAAATATGAATATGATTTGATAATTGTAAAACGTGTCCAAATGTTTAAAAAAGTGCGTATCTTTTTAAACGTATGAAATTATAAATATTTTTAGTTTAATTTTAGCTATTGTTCTCTATTCAGTTAATGTAACATAATCCGTTTTACTTGTAATATAATAAATAAAAAACAAAATGACTGCAACCCGAGATTAATACTGTGCCGTTCCTTTAATTGTATTATGAAGTAACCTTCGGAGTCTCGGTTATCTAAAACGTCAAAAACGTCTTTATGATGTATTGATAACAATTGACGTATTTATCTCAAAGTTAAATTATCAGAGTGAAATATATTTGCATCAGCTGTCAATTACATCGCCCGCTTACACTTGATAACATTTGATAATTATGTTATGAAAAGGTTTTTATAAACATTTCTAGAATAACTTGGTAACGCAGTTTAAACTAGTAGCAAATACTTTAAAAAATAATATATTATACCAATAAGTTTGTTAGGATATGCCTTCGTTTTGGTGTGCATGTCTCAGCGCACAATAATCGATTTATATGTAAATTACATGTTAGATTAGTTTTGTTAACATGTCAATTATAATAATGTATTATTCTGCGCCCCCGTAATTAAATAAAGAAACATATTTTTCGTACAAAATTAATAAATGCTTACAGATACTCCATCGAAGAGCTACCCAACGAAGAGGAGGCTTTAAGAACTTGGTTGATGAATAGATGGACTGAAAAGAACGCGTGTCTACAAAAGTTTCACACTGATGGTAACTAAAAGAAATAAATGGTCAAAAACATTTAATGATAAGTCATAAGTATAATAAGGCATGATAAATAGTCAGCGCAAATGTTGTTGTCCTCACTGAACAAAAAAATACAGAGTACAGTTACAAAGTAAGGATGTGCTAGAAGTTTTGTACTACTGCACTGTAATACACAGTACTTTTAAATGAAAAACGCTTATTTGCGCATTGGTTTTGGGCCAAAAATTACGCCTGTATTAATTTAATGCGCATTAAAATCTTTTGATGTAAGAATCTAAGTCAGTAAGTTATCGTTCGTTATTCCTTATTCTTAAACGTAATAAAAATGTGTTGCACAGTTCATAATTTTTCTGAGGCATGTTTGGATTCTTCAGAAAATCTAAACTTAATTCAAGCGAACCCCACGCATGTCTATCTCTCTCTATCATAAAATAGTACGTTTACATTTACAAACGGCTTTCAAAGTCCCAAATATGTTTTATATTACCACGAGACAAAGAAGGATGGCGTGAAAAATCGTTACCTTTTCGTATCGTCTTGCAGCACAGTTCCACGTTTATGTAAGAAATTATTAACGTAGGCTCCCTCATTGTTTCAATTACCAATTACCTAATTTTCTCACTTCCATTTGTTGATCTTACTGTCAACGTGAAGTCTTTACACATTTTAAAAATACACATTTGATACAGTCTATAGTTTACGCGAGTAGTACACATTTAAATAAAACACTTTAACAGTTTAAAACGCGATATATTAGTTAAACTTATTTGAAAATGATTTTTAACTTCGGCCCGACGTTTCGGATGCTTTGCAGCAGCCGTGGTCACGGGGAGACTGTCTCCCCGTGACCACGGCCGCACATTTGGTTGTTTTCTACTTTCTTTGTTCCTTTTTTGTACCTTTACCTTATAATAAATTGTATCTTCTTCTTAATATGTATTATTTGTATCTCCTGAGGATATATTTAATCTCTATGTACCTATTTTGTTTTAGGTGTATTCGCCGATATAGCTTCTAACAGACCAGTAGCAGAAAGAAGTTCTCGATCACTCACTGCAGCAAAAATAGGCTTCGTCTTCTGGACGATAATAGATATCTTTTTCTTTTATTGTCTATGTTACAGCATCGTATTTAGATTTTGGGTGATATACCATACTTTACTCTTTATTCTAGTTACGAAGTATTGTGACGGATTTCAAAAGATCCAGTATAGATTATTTAATAGGTTGTAGTTAATTTACTTAGTAAAATGTTCTAGTCCTATAATTATAAGTTCAATCACTGTGAATTCTCAGCGATGCCAAATTGATTTGTATTGTTGTGTGAATAAAGGTTTATTTTGTGTGATTGTTCATTTTCTTCAGAGACATACCCGGTAGAACTCGGTAGAATTAGTGCCTTCATGTGCGAAAACATGTGAAAAATATTAAAGTTTTCAAATTATGCTTGATTTCATCTGGACGGTAATGAAAAACAACATTAAAAGAATAATTTTATATTAAACTATTCTAGAGCTCTTTAATAAACAATAAAATCAGCTATCTAAAAAAATATGTCTACAGTTAGAATAAAATAAATTAAGAAATCTGACATAAAGCGTATCACACTATATAACTTAGCAGATCATACATCTAATCTCCACAAAACCAACATTATCATAAATTATCACATAGTTGTTAAAGCTATTTGACTATCACATCTATATCTTCTATATAACCTCTACAAATTGTAGATTGGAGGTAGCAGATTTCAGCATAATTTCTTGTTCAATCTTTAGTCTAGTGACAATCTATATATTATATGTTACTATTATACCATTATGACCCTAAATTCTGTGCTTTAGGTTTCGTTCGACCTTCTAATTCTTCTATTGTATTCAAAAGTACAGTATTCTTCGTTTCCCTCAGCGGTAAGCACATAAAACCAGCTAAGAACGACACAGCACTAAATATTAAAACTGAAACCCACGGATCGGCTTCTAAGTTCACAACAAATGGCGCTATAAATCCACCAATCCTCGCGCACATAGACACAAAACCCATTGCAGAATTCCTTAGCATGGTTGGAAACACTTCTGACGTGTACAGGTACGTAAGAATAAACGCCATATATATTTCTATCTGTCCTACAATTGCGAAGCCTAAGATGGTATATGTCATACTGCTTGGTATAAATATGAAAACGAGCAGTGTTAAGCCTGCTGCGGTGAACGATAGGATCAGAGCTATCTTTCTACTCAAATATATTGACGCCAGGACCACTAGAATAAGTCCTGGGATCAAGCTAACAGCTGAGATGAACACGTTAACATATAGGTTTCCTTCGAGGCGACCTATATATTGATTAATACCGAAAAAAGTGTGCGAACAGCAGAGCCAAACCATCCCGTTGAGAAGTGTGTACAACCTCATCTTTGGTGTTTTGAATAAGTCCAAATATGATCCAACATTCCCTTTCCCTTTTGTGTAATGTAATGCCTCCTTTTCAACGATACTTTTGATGTTCTCTGTAGGTCGATTGTTTCTGGAAACAAATATAACATTGAATACAACAAGAATAGTTATCTAAAATACTAAATAAAAAAAAGGAACACGGTGATATGATCATAATTTGAATTAAGAGCTTGGTCATTTAAAAATCGAAAATAAATTGAAAAAATTTTCGACTCGGGCAGGGCTTGAACTGGCATCGTCAGCTTTCCGTGCTGTTGCTCTACCAATTGAGCTACCGAGTCCTACACCTCATCGTCGATTTTTTTCAACTTATTGATACATGCACCTCTCGCGCTTGGTCATAATTATGTATATAAGATTGTAATAAATAATAAGGTCTAAACGTAAAAAAAATAACTTTAAACTTACTTCTTAGCAATATAAGTAAGAACTTTCACGGCCTCTTCATGTCTGCCCATCGTGATCAACCAGCGAGGAGATTCGGGCAGGAAATTGTAGTACAGCAACACGAATACCCAAGGTATCGATATGGAGAGCTGCAGATACTTCCAGTCCCTCACAAAGTACGCTATGATCGGTAGAGTGATGTAGGCTAGTGTATACGCTGTTTCGATAAGCCCAGTCAAGTATGGTCTGAATGTCATTCCGGAGAGCTCCATCACAATAACGTAGCAGCATATCAAAGTTCCGCCAACGGAGAACCCGATTAGAAAGCGGCAAACAATGAACATCCATAAATAAGGCACTAAGGCCGATGCTGATACAAACAATATTTGTGACATTAGAGCAAGCAGAGTGGCTGGGCGACGTCCGTATCTGAAACAAATTGCTTCAGTAATATAACGGAAATGGAATAGACAGAAGGTCTTTAACCGTACACAAAAGATGTTGCATAAATTAACCTACAATGCTAACAATAGAAGCAAATATGGCTAATTTTACAATTACACACTATCACGAGTATGAGGGCAGTTCTAGTGTAGCCCTTAGCGGTACGTAAGCAATGGTTACATACTTTATGCCATTCAAGTCCACAAAAGAGCTTGTAATGATAAATATTGCTCTAATCTAGGTATTAGATCTCCTATTTCGTATGTTTTCTACAGGCACTTTAACGGGCTTCGTCTTAAAAGTAGGAGTATCGAAATTCCGTCTAAGAGTCCGTCACGAACCAGAGTTCACAGATAAAAGACTGCAGTGCAGTTAAATCGTACTTTCAGTCTGTGCATTTCCGAATTCCCAGTGCCAGGCAAGTCAGCCATAAAAAAGTCACACAATACAAGGCATCATTAATGATCCAGCCACGGAGGCATGCAAGTGAAGCTCTGTCTATCTAGAAACAAATCGCAAATCACGTCTTCGCGTCATGACCGAGTATTTTTATTTAGATAACGCTTAACAATTCAAATATTTACCTGTCTGATATGTGCCCATAAGCGAGACTGCCAAACAGAATTCCGACTTGCAATACAGACTGAGATAAGCTACCGAGGTGACGTTTATTGCAGATGAGATTCCACGTAGTTGGCACCGAGCTGACGATAGTGCTCGTGTCATACACTGGGTTATCGCACGGACAATGATTGGTCAGGTTGTATGCGTCTTCGTCCATGCACACGTACTGCACGTTGGGTACTAGGAATACGACGTTCACTAATTGGTAGTCAGATGGAAGGCGGCCCAGGGTTACAAGGATGAAGATCAGCGTTTGATACTTCCCGAAACGACCGATCACGGTCTCGAGGAGGTCTTCGCTTGACATTTTTGGGGCTGAAACTAAATCAGTTTTCATTATACAGAGATAACATTTACTTCAATAACTAAATAATTTAAAAATCGAAAATTAATTGAAAATTTTTTTGACTCGGGCAGGACTTGAAACGGCATCGTCAGCGTCAGCGGACTCGGTAGCTCAATTGGAGAGCAACAGCACGGAACGAGTCAAAATTTTTTTCAATTTATTTTCGATTTTTAAATTATATAGTGCCTTCATGAGCAATAAGATGTTAAAAAATAATAAAGTTTTCAAAACTAAATATTTGTCACGACTATGATGCCGTGGTCTGCCAATGAACTAAATTGAGATAATTTACTAACCTAGTGAACAATACAAACATATTTCATTCCCTTACAATATTACCGGATATATTTTACTTGGATTCTGAAAAACCCAATAAACTAAAAATACTTCACATGATCATACCATAATCAGAAAAGAAAAATTATAAACATTGTTAGGAAAGTTTGTATATCTTATACAACACTAATTAATAATTATTAAAGTAAGGGTCATATAATTTTATTTATTGTTTATCGTTACCTGTGATATATTTATATAAAAGCTCGTATATAAATAACCTAATTACATATAAGATTGATTAATAGGTATTCTTTATATAAATATATTATGAACATCTATTGCATTCCATTTTTTATAAATCTGTTTGTGTAGGCAAATAAATAAAGATTACATTACAACGAAGGCATAAAACTTTTTCATTATCATTAAATATTTTTAATTTCACTTGTTTATGAAAATAAATTCTGAAATATTTTATAATTATGTAATATTACCTACAGACGTTATCTCGTCATTATTGTGTTCGCTACGGATTACGACCCTACATGCTACGAATATGAAATATTAAGCAAAATCAAAACGTGAACGAAGCGAAAAACAATTTTTAAATTACTTTAAAGAATTATAGTAAATTGTATTTAAATCACAATAACTTTTATTTAATATTTTAAAGCTAGAAATCATTCAGATTCTATATATATATCTAATAATTGATAAAATTAGTTATTTGTAATGAAATTAAACAAATAAAAAAACTTACAGTTCTTCGTAAAATCTTATAACGACGCATCCATTGACTGTCGCAATAACTACCGAAGGATTAAGACCGTCGTGATATGTCGCTACGGCACTTCTGATGCCTTTATCATTGGGTTAGCGCGTGGGAGCTCCTTTTATGCCTACGCTAATCTCTTGGTATTAAGTAGGTACAAATTGTTATCACTTTACCTCAAGAGTCAAGTGTTTTGGTAGCAAAACAGGAGGTACTTCCAAAAACAGTGCAATCTTGTACCTTGGGATTTGATATGAAAAATTTGGTGCAAACAGATATGTAAGAATATTAATTGTTTGGTAATAAAATTAAAAGTCATGTACTTTTTGAAAAAAGTTAAAGTTTTGGAACTACATATTACGTAGCATGTAAGTTGACACCGTTGCTACAGAGATATTGATTAGATTGCCAAATGTTCAAGAAAACCTGCGACACTACAAACTTATATTTACTATATCTTATTGTTATATATTCTGTCAATTCTAGTTTAACAGAAAATGTCTAGTAGAATCTAATTTTCACTTAAAAGGCCCTGACATATCTTAACTATAAAACAAAAACAATATGTAAAAGGTGGTGAAATGTATGTTCTTATGTATGATGATTTGAATTGGCTTGTTGGCTTTGTTGGTTGGTGGTGATGCGAATCTCATAATTAAATATCAATAGGTGAGGGTTCTATTCCTCGGTCCAAGATGTTTCTAATCATTTATAATTTTCGTGAGGCATGTTTAGACTACGTCTGAAAGTCTGGTTATTGAATTGGTAACAGGAATATCGGAAATTCCGCTGATGAAAGTACACATTTAAATAAAACACTTTAACGGTTTAAAACGCGATATATTAGTTAAACTTATTTGAAAATGACTTTTAACTTCGGCCCGACGTTTCAGATGCTTTGCAGCAGCCGTGGTCACGGGAAGACTAAAGATGGAGGATGTCTCTGACGTTAAAGTAAAAAATTGCTACGCTAGCGCTATCTGTTCCGTCGAAGTTGGTATTTGGCGAAACTAGCCTGGTCCTTACAGAATTGACCAACGGTGTCTTCGCGATTGCCGGTGAAACTGGAGAACCCCTATTCCAAAGTAGGACTACTTTGGAATGGGGATTTCTATTTTTTAGGTAGATGGGGTAGCCATGGGTTCTCCAGTTTCACCCTTAGTTGTTGACATTTTTATCGAAGACTTTGAGGAGAGAGCCCTCGCTTCTTCCCCGGTTAAATTTAAGCTTTACAAGCGATACGTAGATGATACCTTTACCTCCTCATCTTACGCAAAGCACAAGTATCAGCATTTCTTATACACCTTCATTTTATTGTTGTTCAATCATAGTGTACTCGCGTATTCGGAGTCCTTTTATGAATATCGGAAAAATATTTTCGAGGTGAAAAAAAAATCGGAAAAAAACCTTAGCCTACTTTTGAATTGCAAAATATTATGAACATCAAAGCCTTGATTAAGATCACGGTATCAGTGATAAATGGAATCAGTACAATATGTTATCTATAATCTTAAGCAGTTCAAGAGAATCGTAATACTTATCTCATTGATTTTCAGATTTGCATTTTATCTGTGGAAGATTCCCAATGGCTCAAATTCTTCCTATTAGATATATTTTGACGTCAGAAGTTGGTTAAAGTTTAAGTCCAACTAAGACCACTAACAAAATTATAACACTATATTCATCTATTAGTCTTAGACCACCTCTGTAGCCAAATGGTTAAACGTATTGCCTAGCATTGCGTTAAGCGCGAGAGGTCCTGGGTTTGAAACCCAGGGAAACTTCCACGCAAAAACTAATGAATGGATTTCAATTAAACTTCCCAATAATATAGCTTATACATCAGAATAACACAAAGGCTACAATTTATAAAGATATTTGTGAGCTGTCCAAAATATGACATTAAGTGTCAAGTAATTAGGAAAATACCTACTTTTCTGCGAGCTATTCTAGCGTGCGCTGCCATAAACGTTAGTTACAAATATTTATGTCATAATGTTAGTTCTTTTCTACGCCACGCTAATATAACCCTAATACTAATCCTGCGTAGACGAATTCGCGGGTACCAGCTAGTTAATAATAATTCAAGATTTTTCGAGTTAATGCAATTTACGAGACAATGTATGTAATATGGTATATTGCCCGTTTTTCAAATATGACGCAAAATCAGTATATAATTTACTGTAAAGATTTCAGCGATGCGCTTTAAGCATTTTAGCTTAATAAATGATAAATAAAGTAGTGGTTATGCCCATATGTTTTTTCTACGTTTTAGTACATATTGTTACTAATATTTATTTACTTATTCCGTTATCGCACCTTCACCTAACTTTTAATGCTTCTTGTTAAGGAAGTACAAAAACAAAGTGATTTCTTAGATCTTGCGACGGCTTGTTTCCTTATTATATTATGTTCAATGTGGATATACATAATGCGCATTGTCAATAATTTAATAAGATGAACACAATACAGATATAAAGTAGAAATTTCCATAAAAGTCACCTATTTGATTATTATGACAGTGCAAAGGAAATCAGAGACGATTCACTAAAATACACATTGTAAGTCATTTCTTTAGTTATAGACATACTTATTTTTGCAAAATGACACTACATCGTCTTTTAACACTTTTAAGGAATAATTATTTATTTCGAATCTAATGCGAAAAGATTCTGAAACCGGGAAAATTTGTAAGACAAATACTCCTTTAAGTCTCCATTTAAAGTTGTTAATTCACGTGTGACATGCGTAATAAATACGTAAAAGTTTATCATGAGTTTGGTTTGAGTTATTATCGATGTTTATCTCAAGTATTCTCTTAAGAAAGAGATCAACACGGACTACATATACTCTACTATTTTGTTGTACTCTTGTTATTGTATAACTAGGGTAACACAGATAGATTTCAGTAGTTTTCCTTTAAGATACGCAGAAAGATAATTAGTTCTTTTATTTACGCTACAAACTTATTAGGTAAATAAATCATTTATTTTGATTAAACATTTTTAAGTTATTTGTTTCTAGCTTAATAATTATAAAAGTTATCAGTTGACGGCTTTTATAATCCAATAATATTATTAAATAATTAAAATAACTGAATATCATATTTTAATTATTTAATAATATTGATATTTTACATCGAAGGTGTATATGATATAATTGATACATGTGATCAGCATGCAAGACATATATCATTCAAAATTTGTTAGAAATAAAACATCTTAGGCATATAGGTAATAGGTAGTTAAAAACATTTAATTTAAACTTATTAATAAAATACAGCAGATTCATTATCACTTATCACAGCCGCAGATCCACCGTCATTGTCATCAATAAAATACCTCGTTCTATAGTTTCTCAGAGAGCTGCAAATCTACTTCCCTAATCACTTGAGATTATATATCACTCTTCCCCTTCTTCTAATGTGTCTGGAAGCTTCTTCCCCCTTGTGTCTGGTAATATCAAGCAGAGGCAAGCTCCCACGATCGGTGTAATACCAAATAAGATCGGTGGAAGCCATGGACTTCTGTGCCCTAAAGTAGCTATGAACGGAGCGACCATAGATCCTATCCGAGCCACAGTAGAAGACAGACCGACTCCAGAATTCCTTACCACTGTCGGGAAGAGTTCTCCCGCATATAAGTAGACGGTGGCGAATGAAATGCTCATGCCCCAAAGACCAGCGCAGCCCAGTACCAAGTGGCTAGCCTCAGATTTAGGGACGACGAGAATCAAGAGGCAACTCAGACCTGTTACACAGTTTGAGCTGATGAGAGTGTACTTGCGGCCGAGGACTTGGTTTGCGTAAATAGAAATTATTGTTCCGGGTACCTGAAAATATACAATATATAAAACAATTACAATTGTGTTTTGTTGCTTTACAAACTTAATTGAAATTGTATTTATTATGTATGGCTATTTTGTCACTAAATCACTTATTTTGTTCGTCGCAATTCAGTCAGTTTTTTTCTATTCGGATAGTGTTTATAGTTTATACACTATAATGAAAAATATATAGAACGCTCAAATTATGACCCTTCCCTTCATATGTTGCTTAATGGCAACAAAAAGACAACTCACCAGTATAGCAGCGGAGATAGCAACATTACTAAATATATTCCCAGAGACATGACCAATGTACTGCGAGACGCCAAAGAAACAGATGCCACAGACGAACCAGTTAAAACAAATAGCTATGGTGCGCGCGCGCAACCGTGGAGTTCTGAACAAAGCTACGAACGATGCTCTCTCATTGGCCGGATTGCTTTTCACGTCTATTGCCATCTTTTGAGTGTACGCTGCTATACCATCAGTGGGAAGACCGTTTCTGTAACGTAAAACAATATTGTTTTTAATTAAATTATATTATCAATAATATAACAAGAAAAATAGGACGAGTCATTTTAAGGGATTCCTAGTGTTAACAAGCAAACAATTCGATAAAGATTTATTTTCATATTATTAAGTAATTAAGGCATTTTCAAATTAAAAACCGATTTTTTTAGTATTCAAGTAAGACATTGCCCATTTTACTAGTTTAAATACCTGCGCAAAAAATATTTACTCTGTCTTTATTTAAATAAAACACTTTAACGGTTTAAAACGCATATATTAGTTAAACTTATTTGAAAATATTTTTAACTGCCCGACGTTTCGGATGCTTTGCAGCAGCCGTGGTCACGGGGAGACTAAAGATGAGGATGTCTCAGACGTCAAAGTAAAGAATTGCTACGCTAGCGCCATCTGTTCCGTAAGTTGGTATTTGGCGAAACTGTCCTTACAAATTACTAAGGTTTTTTTGTGGTATTTTTATTGGATAGAGTTTTTAATATGGGATCCAGGTGTTTGATATTTGAGGCCTCTCCCTATTAAATTGTTTTTTTATTTCAATTCTTTACCAATTTTACCAAGCAATTGAACTCTGATCCCAATAAACAGCATACCAGCAAACGGAAGACACGTTAGTCAATTTTAGACGCAGTTTGAAATACCAACTTGACAAAATGGTAGTAAATTCTTTACTTTGACTTGAGACATCCTATCTTTATCTCTACCACGCTTAAACATCAAACTCGGCGAAGTTAAAAATCATTTTAAATAATTTAACTAATATATCGGTTTTAAACCGTTAAAGTTTTTATTTAAATTTACTACTGTAAATATAGAATATTTACTCTTCTTCATAACAGGGAGAATAAAAAAAAACCTTTTGTTCGTTAAACAACAAGAGAGAACAAAGTAAGTTCGGCGTCTAAGCCGGAACACGAATATAATGTAACAGAGTGAAATTCCGTTTCCCCTCTTCGGGCATGGGGCGTACACATTTCTGTGTCTGTTTTACTGACCGGATTTATTTTAAGTAGTTGATCAGACTTCTGTGCACTGCCAGACCGAAACAATCTATTGTTTCCCCGGGTTCGAACCTAGGACTTCTCGCGCTTTACGCACTGCTAAGCAATACGTTTAACCATTTAGCTACAGAGGCGTGTGGTTTACGAATATAATACTCGTGTAGAAATTCGTAAGTTCTCGATTTTTTGTGGTGATTGGTGCTCTCTACGTTACTAGATTAAAAAATCTATACTGATGTTAAACTTACATCGGTTAAACTTAAAATGGAATACCATAACTAGTTTTTTAAATTACCTTTTTGCTGCCGTTTCCAGAATCTTCAAAGCCTCGTCTTCCCTCCCAACTGTCAATAGCCACCGTGGTGACTCGGGTAGCAAGTAGTAGTAACTCAGGAAAATTACAGATGGCAGTGAGATTGCTAGTTGGAAGTGGTACCAATCGCGCAAAAAGTATCCGAATAAAGGCAGCGACAAATGACCCAGGTTAAATGGTATCTGATAAATGATGCCTACTGTATCTCTGTATTTTGCGCCGATGAGCTCCATGGTCAGAACGAAGCTCGTGACCATGGTTCCTCCCGTGGCCACGGCTAAGAGGAACCTGAGTGTAGTGAACATGATCCAGTTCACAGAATACGCTGTTGTCACTCCGGAAAGTAGTTGAAGGAACACCGCTATGAGAAATGGCACACGTCTACCGAATCTGAAATGGTGTCAAATTTATATTCAGTATATACAAAAACGAATCTACTAAAAAATTTCATAGAGTTTTTCTTGTATACAATTGTCCAACATCTTTTAGTCGTGACGAATATCGAAAACATCAAAGGTTTGCCTCGAGTTGCCATCTCTGTCTTCTCTAATCTTGAATCGATTCAAACTATCAATTTAGCTATGAATATGTTAAGAGATGTGTCATTTATCAGCTGGTGGTATCTTAAATGATGATGGATGCTACGAGATAAACTTGTTTTCACTAACCCTTACTTCATTCCGTAATAAAATAAAACCAGTTCAATTTAGTTTGAAGCAGCAAAAACTATAGTAATGAAAATATTATGAAAACACGATGATTCGTTTAGTTGAACAATTTTACTATCAAGGCGAATATTATAAGGTTATAAATAGATTAGACGATGTATATAAAAATATAACGATGAAGAATTTTTTTAACGAATTGTCTCATAATAAAACAAAAGAAATTAATACAATGTGTTTATGTTTTAAATAAAACACTTTAACGGTTTAAAACGCGATATATTAGTTAAACTTATTTGAAAATGATTTTAAGGGAGACTGTCTCCCCGCGACCACTGCTGCTGCAAAGTATCCGAAACGTCGGGCCGAAAAAATAAGTTTAACTAATACATCGTGTTTTAAACCGTTAAAGTGTTTTATTTAAATGTGTACTACTCGCGTAAACTATAGACAGTATTTAATGTGTTTATCTGTTACACGAACGTCGTTACTGTTAAGCGAACAACGCACTTTGCTGGATAATTGCATGCACGACTGGGGATAGTAAACATTATAGTTCTTAAATTTATAGATTGTAAACATTAGAAGGAACATACAGCTTGGTTTTTACATTTGGTAAAAACCAAGCTCTAGCTTAGTTAGAAACTATATTGTTGAATTTAAAACGATGCAATATTTTGTTTTATGCTATCATTGGTCTCATTAATATTTAGGTTTATAACCTAATATTGCAAAATTTTTAGCAACTGTATTGACCTCGTGCATATATTATGAATGTCTGATTTTGGCAACCGTTACAATAATTATGTAAGCGTTGCCTTTCGTAATTCGGGGCAATGTTCCGTTGAGCCACATTTGCTCTTAATCTTATCCGGAAACATATCTTGGCTGTCCAGGATGCTTTAATTTAACTTTGGGGTCACCGTTGATATGAGTGATCAAAAACGGAGTAAATAGGCCCGTAATAATACCAACGTTTTTAATTTTTTTTTAAGTATAAGACGTTTTAAGATAAATTTTCTTTCGGATTAAGATATTATGTAAATGTCGTATATTGTAAGTATACATAACAATTTTTATTTGGATATAAGTAAAGTATTGGCCTAAGTGAATGACATCAAGCATACTTTGCATTATGCAACGAAGAAAGAGCTCGGTGCTTCCTTTTTAGATAACTTACTTTTAAGTTGTTATCGTCGTTTGTCTTGCACGTTCTTTATTTTGGTAATGCATTAGACAACATGTATACTAACCTGTCAGACAAATGTCCAAAAACCATGTTACCGACAAGGATTCCGAGCATAAAAATCGTTTGGGTAGCATTCTTCAACCATTCTATTTCGCAGACTAGATTCCATTGCGAGACTATGGTGTCACCGAAAACTGAGTGATCATATTTGAAATCGGTACAATTCGAGCATTCATTGTCGAACACATCACTCGTGGTACAGGTAAAATTCATGGGCGGAGCCAGAAAAATTATGCTCATCTGATGCCAGGCGACAGGGAACTTGACCAGGAAGACAATAAAGCAAATCCATATCTGCCATTTGCCGATTGCGCCTATGGCCTTTGTTATTGGATCTTCTGTTGTGATTTCCTTCTGCTTTTCCACTCTTAGTTCGTTCTCCAACACTGGAAAAAGAAACGGCAAGTGTTAATGTTGCCCCTTATCAGAAGATAGGTTAAACACCTACAACAAATTATGGTTTCCCAATAGTATCTGGAATATTTTAATTCCTCAATTAGGTTGTTGTAGCATTGTATTGGTATACCAAGACATTGATACTAAATTGTATGAAAATCTGTTTAGCTACTTAATATTTGTTAGTGCAACGCGTTGAAGTGCGTTGACTTAATTAATTGAAAAATTTTAGTTAATTTATTATATATATATATAGCTCATTGTCGATTGTGTTTTACTTTGTTTTTTTGATTTAAACTTTCTTTTTCTCAAAGAAAACTCGGGTTCGAACTAATTATTTCCACTTTTTCTCTTATTATTATATTGATGCTTTCTTATCTATTTAACTCACCGCCATGATTTTTACTTTCTGTCTCTGTCATTTCACAACGAAATACAAAAATTACTTATTTACTTAGACTACCGCGTTACTCTGCGTGACCAAAGTAAGTGTCGGGATCGCCGCACCGATCTCGTATTATCGTTTCCTGACTTCGAATAAAATAATTGAATAATGACGGTTATAGCAAGCAGTAATATTGGCCACCAGCTCCAAGGGGTCTAAATTTAGCTGTGAAAGTGGCTCATGTACCAACTACTTCCTGTCAATCTAAGAAAATTATTTGAAACATAACTTGGAATGAAATAAAGTCCGTCTATCTTAAATGTTATATTGATTAAACTTTTCTTTATCTAATTTGTTAATACGGGTAAATATTACTAATTATCGGTTTAAACGTTTATTTAAAACGTTTTTAGATTTCATCCTAAGTCCTTCCCATTTTGGTATAACATAACTCCTAATAAGTCTATTTTGATGTTCCTACGACAGTAAACAAATGAACAGTTGTGTTGAATAAATACTCTACTTCCTTGTAATGTTTGTGATAAACAGTTTTTTATCATAGACAATTTGGTGATAAACACGTAACAGTCTGAGAGGATGACCTCTCACCTCTTTTATCGGAATATGGGCAGAGTCCTGCTGTCACAGATAATAATTATCGCAATTAATGTGTCTCAGCTGTAAAATTCGAAGAAAACGTTTGTCTACCTAACCTACCACCTAATACAACTTCTTCGCTACTTTATTATTTATATAATACGAGTATATAAATATAAGAATTAAAAAAAAAACATTTATACGAATATACTGCAGTTCCATTGTGTATTAGCTATAATATTTGATCGTCATCATCGACAACTACAAAAGATTAAATCACCTGGAGAAACGAATATACTAATACATTTTGTTTTATTTATAACAACAGATAATCTTTATAATATGATAAGTGAGTTTTTTCGTTCAAATCATTAAAGTCGGTGAGAGGTAAAAAATATCCAACTCAGGCTGGCATTTAATAGCGGTCGCGACCTGTAGATAAAAAATTGTTAACTTTTATTAATTATAAATTGGTTCCAGATGTACATAACAACGATACCGTAACATAATGATAATATTATAAGAAAATCAATAGGAAGTATATATCTTAGAAAATAATTAAAAGATTTCCCCACAACAGTGGTTTTTTTTATATTTTTGAGGATATTTTTACGCTAAATTTTTTTTTTTCTTATCTCTTTACAAACAATGTAGTTACTTCGAGTCCTTTACATGCATATTTAGTTATATCTTTTGCCACAGTAAGATTAAACTGGGGCCATCGACACATTTCTTTAATAATTTTTCTTGTACATACAGCAACAGATTTTTCTGTACATATCGTATGTTTCTCAGAAATACTTTTTTAATTAAGGGAGACTATGTTTTACATAAAAATAGATTAATAGGTAGTCGTGTAAATTTAATGTAAACAAAGACATGTAAAAACAGATATACACACAAAGATTTTATGAATTTATTTGCCTTTTAAATTTAATGAAAATATTGTTAAGGTGTTTTCTGAAATGTAATCAGATTGTTTACCTATTTTTTTAAACCTAACTAAAGCTTTACTTTTTTGTAAGCCTTAAAATTCGTTAAAGATTTAAAAATGAAACGTTTATGTATAATCTTACTAGGTCAGTGTAGTCTAGAGATTTAATAGGCTTTTCGTGGACCATACGACCTTCCTAAAGTTAAAGGATCTTCTTACAAATTAACTTTCATCGTAATTTTTTTATTTTCAGTGAACTTACTGCTTAGTGCAGTATTTAGCAGCAGTTGGCGACTTTATTGGATCTGTTAATTACTAACATCTCAAAAGATATGGGGCGAGATAACAGATATATCTCTGTAATTCAATATATTCCTGATTTAAATAAGATTAATATAGTACGCCTCCTTGGCCCATTTTATTCAAGATAACTTTGTGTCCCGCAGGTCATGGATTCAATTCGCAATAATTATATATATTTGATTTTAGAGGTTCCTCTCTTAATTTGGTAGGATTTATGTGTCACCATAATTATTCAACTTTGTAAACTAATGAATGATAAGAAGAAAAATAACGTTAATTGTTATCAACTTTCTACGAAATAGATTATTGGTGATGACATAAATGATGTAACATTAGTCTTGTATTGCGTTTAAGTTTAAGAAATAAAAGAGATTATTAAAGTTTAAGATAGGCGCGACATCCAGATTTTTAAGATTTTTCAAATTAAATTTTATTCAAACAATCTCACTTATCTACTCAATTTCATCGATCGAAGATTATAAGATAGATCTGATGCAGGACGTAACTAAATACGTACATACTACACTAGGTACAACTGATAAAGTTACCGGTATTTTTATGCAGGCTCTATACCTTTTATGTATATTGTAACAGTGGTGTGGTGGTATATATTACTAATACATTGGTATTTACTTAAAATTAGCCTGAAACAAGGGGGCTTAGGACCCAAGAACAGGGGCATACAAGGCTACAATTTTACTTAAAGAGAAACTTAATTACAAGATTTGGCATTCACAGTAAAACAGGAAGTCACCTCAACATATAATACTTCCTCTCATAACTTTTTGTAACCACTAAAGATCTTTTCGATGTGTACAAAAAATGACAAACCATCCTAAAGTAAACTAAGTCTTTATAACAATCCTAAATTTAAACGTACTTAAAGCACTGAATGATATTTTTTGTCATAAAATAAAATAATAATATGAAATTAGACAAAATAAATAATCGTTCCTTAACTACATATCCTTTTAAGTCAGAAAGTGTTTTTAAGGTATCCATCATAGTTACACCATGTTATAATTCGTGGTTACTATAAATTAAAAGTAATTTCTTTACTGGTTAAAACTAGTTTTCTTCACGTTTAAAATTAACCAAGTTAATTTGAAAAGTATTTCATTTTATCGTAAGTTATTAATGTTTTATCATCCTGCAAGGTAAAATGTTCTTATTTTAACTTTTTAATTAATTAGCTTACTTAAACAGCTTGTACGTAATTTATGTGTTCAAATAATTTTCCTTAAGTCAAAAAAAAACTAGTGTTGCATATCTACACCAATTACTATTATATGAGAAATAATTCGTAGATTTTTCGCACGCTCATTGTAGTTACAGAATTCTTAATATTAGATAGGTACTTAATTCATTGGTTTACATATATTAAAATTTATTTTTTATTATTATTTTGTAGACGTTATTCAGATCTTTTAAATAAACCACTTTAACGGTTTAAAAAGCGAAAAATATTAGATAAAATTATTTTTCAACTAACTAATTATTTAACTAATAATTTTCAAATAAGTTAGATTAATATATATCGCGTTTTCAATCGTAAAAGGGTTTTATTTAAATGTGTACCACTCGTGTAAACTACAGACAGTATTTAGATTATGTAGATCCGTCTGCAATATTTTGAAATCATTTACTTTGTATATAATCCAAGAATATGGTAGCTTCTTACGAATTGTAATATGGTGTGCTTTACAATAAATCACCTAACTACCTTTAAGTAATTATTAGCATGTGATTTATTACGTAAGCTAATGTACATATGTTATTGTGGATTATGGACGAACCTATGACATCTAAGGAGTAGAAAGTTCTCTTTAAGCGTAATAAATAATTAAATTTTTGCTGAATTCTTGATGTAAAAAAGTTAATGCAATAATTAAGAAATAATATCGTATCATTACGAATAAGTAAATCACATAATAAAAGTTTCAAGGTTCCCAATTCAATAACAATGAATGCACGATTTAAAAAAAAAAAAAAAAAAAAAAAAAAAAAAAAAAAAAAAAAAAAAAAAAAAAAAAAAAAAAAAAAAAAAAAAAAAAAGAAAGACAGAAGCGGAGGAGGGGGGGGGGCCCCCCCCAAGCCCGCCGCGGCGAAAAACCACCAAAAACGGGGGGCGGGGGGAAAAAATTTTTAAAAAAAAGTAAAAAAAATAAACGTTTAAACTAAAGGTTATGCGGAAAGAAATTTTAAAGGTTATCCAAATTACTCTAATAAAGTATTATATCACGGTACAAATAATTTTATAACTGAATTTATGGAAAAAAATATGTAAAATGTGCTCGCTTTTGCGATTATTTTCATTTTAAAACTACGTCATGACACTAAATTCGAATCAATTTTGCACTTTACATTTTTCACATATTATACAGAGAACGTTTATATAATAACATATTTAAATTAAACACTTTAACGGTTTAAAACGCGCTATATATTAGTTAAACTTACTTGAAAAGAATCTTATTACGGACCGATGCTTCGGATGCTTTGCAACAGCTTTAAATGTTATATTTGAATGTGTACTACTCGCGTAAACTACAGACAGTATTTAATAATATATTTAGATTTTTTACTCACTTTTGTGTAAATCCAACGGCACAAAACGGCTAGAACGAAGCGGCCACTAGCTCCGCGTACAACACAGCAGTGGCGGCGCTTCTACGTGTGGTAATAATATACAGGCGCTATATAGGCAAAACCTCTGACGCTATTGCTACATGAGGAAAATCTAAAGCTCGGTATGTACTAATTAACAAGCAAATTCTTAAAGCTCCACGCATGAATATAGATGCACTTTTATAACGTATTACCCGCAGTTTACATGAGTACAATAATTACCCGTTCATTCTCACTGTTCTCGGGGCACATGGCGTACGGCTTCAAAAGATGTCAGAATATCGCATGGTACTAAGTTTTACTTAATGGGCAAGTGCGTGTGTTAGATTTAATTCATATAGACATTACAGAGATAGGTATAGGATTTTACAGGTGAATATAGAATTTTTATTGGTTTTAAAAAAATTTAAGGAAATTATTTAAATAATAGGTTTATAAACAAGATATTATTTACACAAGCAGGGCAATGTATTCCCCATAATAACAGCAACATATTTATTGTATACAAACGTCTAGGAATTTAATAAATAATGGTACTCCAATTATATATACATTTTATAGATATTTATCTATTCATTATACTTAATTGACATATATTGATGCCAATTCAATATAATAAAAAAGTATATATATCATAATGTGTAAATGCTCTGCATACTCGAGACTGGGACAAATACATATGGGCTCGGACGAAGTTACAGTAGATGACATTAAATAACTACAGATGGAAAAAATCATAAGATTCTGCAAGCAAACCGGAAGGTTTGAAGGGGACACGGGGAGAGTTGGATGACCCAAAACCTCTACAAGGAGGAAATGGGGAAATGGGTGAAATGGTCAGCTGATAACGTGGACTGATCACCCGTCCTACCACAGGTGTACAGGCCCGAAAGAAAATAATAATAATGATGTTATAAATAAATCAATAAATCATAACCTATTTATTACAATATAATAATTTACATCATACCTGGACCCTCCAACGTTCCAAACAATATTCAACCAACGTTCACATTCTAGGTATTAATACAGATATAGGATTTTAAGGATATTCTGGAACCTCCAACGTTCCAAAATACGTTAAACAAGAAATGTTTCTGGTCCAAACAACGTTCACCGTACGTTTTCTCAAAAGCAACTGCCTACCCGCTTTACAGCGCACGGACTTCATCGAATATGACGAAAATTATTTTAAAGATTTTGTAAACTACCTACATTTATACAACACAAAAAAATAAAAAAAAAAAAAAAAAAAAAAAAAAAAAAAAACCCTTTACCCCCCCCCCCCCCCCCTTTTTTTAAAAATAAAAAAAATTTTAAAACTCTTTTTTTTTTAAAAAATAATTTTTTAAAAAAATTTATATACAACATTATACGAAATCCGACGTCCGCTTAGAATCAAAATTTATTTTTAAACGTACCTTTTAACCTCCTCTTCATATTTATAAAATATAGCTATTACCCACGACGTCAGTGGCGTCATGTCGTTCTTGCAAGGTAATTAAGATATATAGTGTCGCGAATATATGTATTTTAAAACCAAAAGATGAATTTTTGATGAACTTTCAAACATATTTTTTTGATGTCTTGAACCGTTTTCGCAGCGTACGCATCTGAAACCTACAAAGGTCAATGACAGTGCAATGTTTTATTGTGCTTGATATGCCTTCCTCGATAAATGCTCTAACACAATTTTTTAAATTCAAACCAGTAGTTCCCGAGATTGGCGCATTAAAACAAACAATTTCTTCAGCTTTATATATTTATGTAATATAATCTTTCGCTTTTTCTTTGTTGTTTGATATAACCTAAAAACTTGATCATTACATGAATTCATTTATCATTAGAAAATTAAAATAACTATCAAGCACCTAGGTAGTTATTATATTAGAAGACGCAGTTCATGTTCAGCCGCAGATTTCGATAACTGGTATTGTGGTGTTTTTTTGCAGTTCAAGTTGTTTTCAAACAACTCGTTTCGCACATTACGTCATTTACACTTATAACTTTAAGTTAAAATAAACAGATTAGAGCCGAATGCTTTGGTTACTAATATTTTGAGGTCTAACACGCCAATAATTTTATATTGAGAATATACTAAAACACAAAAAAAATTGTATGTATGATATAATTTATGTTTTTTACATAAATTACATCTTTATCATGATTAGGGTTTAACTAATTGTCATACTGAAACCTATTACTTCAGTTTAAATATAAAAAATTGAGAACATACAAGATTAAATTACGTTTAGGGCTCTTAACCACATAAGTAAAAATGGCTTAAATACAATGGAAATGTGTACATGGTAACCAGGAGAGGACGTGGGTTTGATCCCGAGGATAATAAATACTTTCTATGAAGCAGGCCATATAAATCCCATAAATAACTTGCCTAAAAATAAATAAAATTAATGAAACGGACACATAAATGAAAATAAAATTCGCCCTTTACCGCCCATAGCAAAACTGGATTTTACACATTTATGTATTAATAAATCTATTTTATTATAGAAAGGTGTTTTACTGCGCCTGCCCTAGATTTATCTAAATGCTTGGATGTACTACGCTCAAAGACATCATGTTTCGTAATGAAAACGGTCTGCATTTTCCTGTTAGATTTTCCTCCTAATTTTTAATAGCAAATACACAAGACAAAAATTTACACTGTTTTGTAATTGTTTTTTATTTCAAATATTCATGATTAACCAATTTTGTCTAACTTTAATTTTTAGCTGAAATCGCTAAAAATTAATCATTAGTGTGTCAATAGTATTTTGATCTACAGTATCCGTTTACTCATCATTGTAACCGATCTTAGCATTTTGTTCGCTCCAGCAGACCTGCCACGCTCTTTGTTAGTTTCGCAGCAAGAAGTATTTTCGCAGTCAGCAAATCTTAAGTAAAATAATAATGCGTCGGTGTAATGCAAATGTAAAGAGGTAGCAGCGCAACAAAAGGAACAAGTATTTGTAAAATTAGTTGTTAATTGCTTAAAAATGTATATATATTTATAAAAGTAAATGGGTTTTAAATAATTATTAATTATTAGTCCAAAAATATTGAAAGCAATCAGCGCTTTGTATGCTTTTGTAAATACTTCATAATTAAAGTTAGTCATTAATTACATGAAAAAAGAGTTACTACATTAAGTTAGTTAATACATTTCGCATTTTAAACCATTAAAAGTGATTACTTTAAATGTGTACTTGCGAAAGGTATAGACGATACTTTATTCTTTATCTTAACAATTTTTAATCTTTCTGAGATGACAATTGGCATCTATTGACAGATTGAATATGTATCGTCAAACTTCAACTGTCATTTAAAAGTCATAAACACGTGTTTGTTAATCGTTGCGAACATAATATAATTATTTTCATTATTTTTAGGTTTACGAACATATTATATACAGTAAAAGCCATGGCTGTAATGCAGCGAATAAAGTAGGATTTTTTTAATAATGTATAATTTTTTGTGGTAAAAGTGGCATCTAACAAAGTAAAATGTTTTTAGGAAACCGACAACACGTAAGGGTAAAAAGGTATTACTTTCTAAGGAGCCAAAACCTGTCGAAGGACCGAAGCAATGCATATTTTTACAAGGGCGTAATCCTTCGGATAGAGCTAGAAAGGTTTTACGAGATATATACGACCTAAAGAAACCAGATGCAGCATTTCTTAATCGAAAAAATGACTTTGTGCCCTTTGAAGATGCTACACTTATTGAGAAGTAAGTGATATAGAGCAATGCATATTTTATCGTTTTGTAACCTAGCATTTGTCTATGTGTAGGTGTCTACTGTTTAGTATGTCCTAGAATTTACCTCGATTCCTTTATGTTGTGCCTACATATATTTTGTCTAAATGTGATATTAATAATATGTATGATTGTTTTACAGGATCTGTTATAAAAAAGAAGCCGCACTGTTTGGTGTTAGCTCACATTCTAAAAAGAGGCCACACAACGTGATTCTGGGACGAACATTTAATTATGGTGTTCTTGATATGATCGAACTTGGGGCAGAGAACTTCAAAGCTATGTCAGAATTCCATAATATGAAAGTATTAGCTGGGCTAAAGCCGTGCTTGCTGTTCAATGGCCCTGCTTGGGATTTAAATCAAGATTTGAAAAGACTGAAATCACTTTTTACTGATTTCTTTTATAGGGAGAAGGTACTTAACTTTTATTATTATCATAGTCATATTATCGAACCATATAGAAGGCCAGGTAAACATATTACTTAACTATTGCTTAAATAATTTCAGGTAGAAACTATAAGATTGCAAGGTTTAGAGCATGTCCTGAGTTTTACAGCAACAGACGATGGCAACATTTTTGTAAGGTCCTATAGGATACTTCTCAAGAAGAGTGGACAGCGCACTCCAAGAGTTGAGTTAGAAGAAATAGGTATACCAATTTAATAGTATTTAACAAACTGTTTTAAAGATGTTTGCAATGTGGGCTTATTAAATTCCTGTAGTCCTATAAAATTATCATACATAAAACCGAATTTAATACAATCTTTATTTCATCGTTAGTATAATTGCCTAAATGTTATTGTTATATATTTGAAACATGTTCAAAAGTCTAGTCAAAAACCAGACTAGAATATATTATGAGAGCTTCATATATAAATATATATGTTTTATTAAGATGCAATCAACACTATCTATAATACTGTAATGCTTTTTGCAGGTCCCTCTATAGATTTTAAGCTACGACGCACGAGATTAGCATCTGATGACTTGATAAGAGAAGCTTGCAGGGTACCCAGAGAGCTGAAGCCGATCACGAAGAAGAATATCTCGAAAGATGCATTTGGTAGCAAGATGGGCCGTATTCACATGGGTAAGCAAGACATTAACAGACTGCAGACAAGAAAGATGAAGGGATTAAAGAAAAGCGCTGAAGAGAAGAAGGAGATGCTCTTAAAAAAGAAGATCGCTAAGAAGGAGGCAAAAGCACAAGCCATTAATTCTCAATAAATACGCGTATATATAATATTTTAGTTTTTTTATTTCATTACTTAGTACCCAGTACCGGGTACCTTTACTGTCTACTTTAATGTATAATTAAAGTTTGAAATCATAAGTTACGCACTTTTTGTATTCTCCTTATCAGTTCCTCCTGCCTTCCTCTTCTATTTTGGAAGAAAAAAAGTATCGCCCATGCCTTAAGTATGGGATACAGAAATTCACTTATAGTTCGCCTGCTCTAACAAACCACCTACTAAAATCACTATGGGTAACCTAGATATTAAATTGGTAACAGTATTAATCTTTTTTGTACACTTATACTTATTTAATCACAGTGTTGGAAGCTCGTACGTATTTATCAAGTAGTGGAGTTAAAAATCTTATTTTTCCTTCCCGTAAAGAAAATAATCTTTAGGCTCCTATTAAGCAATTTAAGATTTTTAAAGCAGTATAAAATGCACACAGTTTCTGTTCGACCCTCGATTGTGCCCCACTAGATTCTTTGAAAGCTTCGTCAGCGTTCCGTGTTGTTGATCTAACCAGTTGAGTTACCGAGTTGAATCATTCGTAAATTTTTCAATTTATTTTTAATTCAATAGTGTCATAATGTGCTATAACACGTGAAAAATATTAAAGTTAAAAAAAAAGTGGGTATTAGTTTAGTCGATGGGTAGCCGGTAGCCCATGAATATAAGAACTGTAATCATTATTCTCATTATTTGCTGTTGAGTGAAAAGTAAGTTCTTGCCTTTTATTACGTTAACTAATATTCCAAATAAACACTTGAGCACGAATCAGAGATTAGGAAAATCTACGCCTACCTCACATTAATTATCATAGGAATTTAAAGAAAATACGCAGTTTTAAAGATCCTTGGTAAATAAAAAAATAAGATTTTATAGATTCGAGATCACTTGGAATGCGTTGTCTCTGTTATTAGTCCGATAATAACAATTAATGGCGATTAATTACTAAGTTGTGGTCATTATGAACGTTGTATATAGAACGACATTTATTGTTACTTTATATTATATAATCACGTGTTTTGGTATATAAAAAAATGTAGAGTGTAAAACGTGTTTCAACGATAGTACAAGCCGTGTATTACTGTCAAAAACTATTTAGACATAATAGAACTAATCAAAGGCAGAAGCTAGTCCTAGTTAAGTAATTTTGTTCCCGTTGTGCTTGTACGAGTAATTTGCCTCCAGGACACTGGAACCGTAATATACGATAAGTAATAATTTAAAAGCCAAAGAATTACATTTACACTAAAAGTCAAATTAACTACACGCAATGCGTTGGAAAATCTTCTGGCGTCTACTTAAGGAGTACCTATTGTTCTTTTCGGTACCTATTTACTACAAAACGAACAGCGCTACATGAAAATTTTTCAGAACCTTGCTAAGATGAATGAAATATTATGAAAAGCTACTTGTTGAATCATAACATCAGATTGATGCTATGATTCAACAAGTAGGTAGTTGTTGGTAAAAAGATACGTCAGACTATGATATTTGTTTTATATTTTGCAAAAGCATATATATACACTAAGTATGTAATATATAACATATTATTTAGAATCTGTAGGCAGCACTGACCGCAAAGTGTTTGTTCATCCTTGACCAGTAAACTCGCGTTCAGTCTCCGCGCGGCTCTACATCCAAATCATCGTCTCCAAACTTCCGAAGACAATAAATACCGGACGTAACTTCGACCGATTCAGTGAGCCATGCGCCATCGCTACGAGAGATATAGAACCTTTTTTAAGTTTTGTGATTAAGTGAAAATGAAGCCTAAAGACGAGTTGTCCCTTCCCGAGCTGGAGGAGTTAATTCAGCCGAATTTCCCAAAGTCAATATGTAAGTTTGTTTAACTGACGTTTGAATAGCGCTCGTTACGGTTAAATTTACTTGTGCATAACAACTAAGTCGGAATTGCTTTAAAACAAGTGTCATATGTGATTTTGTGTGTCTAGCTTTTTTTGAGGCATTTAAAGGATTCCTTCAAATGATAGACAGTTTTAAAATGATCGGGAGTGTCAAGTGCTAGGCAGTAGTTTTAAAAGTAGGAACCTATTAGGCTACGGATATACATACGAGATGTAATTAATTAAAAAACCTTATCTTTTTTGTCTACCCTCAGGTTATTGATTTTGATCCATCACATCGATGTGGCTTAGTATTTCATCGTTTATAACTGCATTATTATTTTTTAATGGCGGCCAACATTTTTGTTGAGCAAAAGAAGCTTAATTGATAACGTATTTAACAATTATCTTATAGTATTGAATTTTGTATGCTGAATTATTATGATAGCAATGTCTAATGTAATTATTGTATTTTGGCATGAGTTTTCGTGATATTAATCATTTTAACTCTTACGATTTATAAATGCCCTGGACTATTTGCCAAGTCTTTATCGTTTTGGTAACGTTGCTTTAAAGATAAATATTATTTAAAGCCATTTGACAGTTTAAATAAAATTTAAATTCCAAATATCATAATAGTTTTATACGTTTTGACCGCAAAACACGAAACATAACACGCCCTCTTTAAAAATATAGCTATAGTGCCATCGCACACCTACTGTGATATCTCAGCTCGATAAACTAAGTCGTCTAAAAACTATAGTAAATAGTCAAATTTTCATTCAGTGTTTTCAATACAAAGATTTGTAACCTTTGAAAAGGTGGTTACTTGGCACTGACCCAGCCTCACGTGTTTTCTATATTAATCAAAATAAACATAAACACACCGCAACACCCAGTTCAGATAACAAATATATCGTTTTAGATATTTACAACAAATATTTATTTAATAAATATATTAGTTGGCTATTTCAGTTAAAGTAACCCTTAGTAAGTATATTTCATCACAACTGCTATTATTTAGAACCTAATAGCTATGTACCTATGCCTTTATACCAATGTATACTCGTAATGCACTAAAATTCACCAAGTGTTTCTTTACCTAGAAATGTAATATAATTTATATATTTTATAGAAAAATATAACGTGTTTTCAAAAGCCAACGAGTGAATATTTATAATTTTATATATTTAATTGTCATAATATTTAGATGTTACCTGAAAAGTAACTCGTAAATAAACTGATTTAATTCCATATTATTTATTTCTTCATAGAAATGTACAAATAAAAATTAACAATAGTCACATAAAGTGAAAACGATATTGTACTTAAATAGAGGTATTTTCTGCAAAACAAGTCGAGTCCGCTTTTAAAATCACAACCTGTTTTACGGTATACATCAAACGGCCATAAAATATTATTTATTGATACATTTACATACCAAAATGGCGCAGAGCACAACGATATTATTTTAAGTGGGTATTTTAGTTCGCAGTACATCATTGCATTTACTCCTAAGGTGATCCTATGCAGATGCCTCCTAAAATAGGTTATTAAGGAAAAATTAGTACACAATTTTTGGCAGTGTAAAATATTGTATAACAATTAAAAACGTGCCTTAGTTTAGACGAAAAAGGCATTTTTATAAGTTTGCTGTACACGATCATCAAACAATATTATGTGAAAATTTGCAGCAGATTATAAGAATTCAAAATAAGATGAGCAAATATTGATATAGTAATGTTAGTTTTGACATCAGATTTTACCTATCGTCACTTTAGATAAACAAATTTAAATAAATCATTTGAAATAGTTTCATATGCAAAAAATGTTAGTTAGATTCCTAAAATTACGACCGGCCATTTAAATCGTCTGTATTCAATGCGAACAATACCCAGATAAATAATTCGCTGCTTCGCTCCGATAAAGGCATCGTAGGTCAGCTTTTCTTGGACCGAAACAGAAGCATACAGATAAACAAAAAACGTGGGAAGAAAGTTACGCCTTGGAATTTTAATTCATATTTATGTTATTATATGAAAACAAGACTATTTCCGGCCAAAAGAATGCGTTTCCGGTTACTATTAACCCGACTTACACAACATTATTCAAGGCGAGACCAACATCGTAGAGATTCCAGACTTGTCATATCAGTCTACAGATTATAATTAAATTAACATTATCAACATAAACATAACGGTTTATGTGACACTAGTTCGTTAATTATGTAAACTAAGAATAGTTCATTTTACGGATACAATCAAATAGTAATAATGCAATTATTAAATCTGTACTAATATTATAACGGTTCAAAAACCCGCAAAAATTGAACAAAAGATTTATTCCTCTTTAAGTGATCTAAAAAAATCTATCTTTTAAAATTAACTCGCAAGAACGACTTGACGCGACGACATCGTGTGTAACTAAATTTATAGAGCTGTTTGCTAAAACAAATATGATGCCTAAAACAACAATTCCTCGTGAGAGTCGTGGGCACAGCTACTGTTAGAATAAAATCACCCGTTGCACAGTTGTAAAAGCTCACGCAGTCTCCAGCTCAAATCCTGAAAATTTAAAAATACTATTTTTGACACAACTTCTGTTGTAAGTCCCAAAAAATTACTTTCTTTTATTTACCAGGCACAGAAATGTCCCCTAGCCTAACATAGGGCAAAAGGGTCAAACATTTGTCTTTATTTTGTCTAGTTAAATAAATTACTGACTTTTTGTTGAGCTATATCTTGTTTAAAATATAAAAAATAAGATCTAAAGCAAGTACAGCTCATATTTCTATATGTTGTATTCCGAGTCTTGTTCTCCTTTTACAATTAAATAGAAACAATTAACTATTCTTGTTAGGGATAGTCCCAGCTATCTCTATGTGATAATTGTTATGTAAAACATGTTTGAGGAAAAAAAACACGTTAGTCATAACAGCCACCTCTTCAATTACCGCGAATCAATATAACTGATTTAATAAAACATATATTACACGTGTGTTTGACGTAAATAAGTTTGGGGATTGATTTGAAGGGGAATTTTAAGTTTCTTAGTATTTATGACGTAACTGGTATTTTAGACATAGGTACATTTTAAAACATATGAACGGCGCATTTAATTACGGTTAACTATTAAAACTAAAAACGATTTCGTTTTAACTTTAGTTAGAATCTAACTTACTTGTTATTAGGAGTAACAAGCTACTTTAAGTATGCGCTCCTTAAACTCTTCTGTAAAAACTTCCAGAATACTCGATTGCTTTAACTTAATGTAGCTATTACATTCTAGTAGTTCCTATAATTTTGGAAAAAATCGCATAATGTTGTCTCCTGGAGATTTAACTGATCGATCTCATTTACAAAAACTTTAACTATTTCTCCTGGATTCGAATCAATGGCTTGTTATGATTATCCAATGCTTGACGTTTAACCATTAAGTCACAGAGGTCACTCAAACTTGCATACATACTCAACATCTTAAACACGTTTTCTATACAAATATGATTAACGATTGTTTCCAATCAGACAGTAATCGATATGTCAATTAATCTAAATCTCTGATCGGAATTGAACGATCAATAATGATCGTAAAATAGGCCCTTACTCGTAAATCTTCACAGTTAAGGTCGATGGCGGCAATCTTTGGAAATGCATTGAATAACAACATACATAACAGCATAGCAGAATAAAATATGGTATAACACAAACATTTAGACTGGATTTTGTTGTAAAAAAAAAGTTGTTTGTATTGTTAGTAACAAGATCCTATTAACGTCTCTTTAAAAAGTAATGTGCCGTGTTTAAATAATATATATTACCAATATCTTAATATGAAGCGTTTTTGAAGCCGTAACCTAAAGTACACTTTGTACAAAAACCTTGTTTGTTCAAAAATTAGTCAACTCTCTGCTCCCTTTAAGAAGATTTTTAGATAAGAAATAAAACATTTTTTTGTCTGGATGATTGTATCGTCCAAACTCCGACGTTACGAAGCCTTAGCTGAGCAAAGCAATTTGGTGAAAATTTATTAAAAGTACCATTGATTTAGAGACTTGAATGTTAATCGCAAAAAAAATAATTGATTTTAATGTACATATTTTTAAAAGTGTACGGAGTAGTAACATTTTAATAAAACATTTGAACGGTTTAAAACGGAAATATATTAGTAATTTTATTTCAAAATTATGTTAACAACGGCCATTTTGGAGATAAATTCAAGTCATATATTTCGCGTTTTAAACCGTTTAAACTACACATTTTTGATTGCTGACCGCTAGTTTGTTGTATAAAAATGTGGTTGACGTTCTCAGTTTGAATGTTTTAGCATACCCTATTCGTTTCTCACTTGCTTGGTGTTGCACGCCTTCTAATCCTTTTGCCATTGCGCAATCTTATTGATTCGTGACATTGGCGTTTTAACCACTTACGCTCTTCACTCTATTATTTACAAGTCGATGTAACAATCAAAATACTTACCGCTACGCAAACGAGACGTGGTTACGTGCGATTTAACCCGTCTTGCAACATTTATGAATTAATTAAAAGCGAGGCTGTGAATCATTTTTCAAGTAACAATTTTCAACTATGATTTTGACGTGTAATATTTATGTATAGACATGGGTGTCAAATTTCGACACGTGCGCTTGTTTGTGTTATAAAAGTACTAAAAATTCTTGTGTGGTAAACGTCATGCCTTAAATATTGGGGCAGATGAAACCTGCTTTTAGTAGTTATCCAGCTAAATTAAAATCTAATATAGGTCTTTTAAAATACGCACTAGTCAGGAGTGGAGGAGTAGATATAACTAGAGTTTCTATTGTACATAAAATTTTTATTTTTGGCAACATTAAATAAGGTATATATATATAAAACTGACGACTTTAAATACATATATATATATTTTTTTATACAAATTTAGTTTAGGATTATATGGACACTATTCGACATATTATTAAATTAATATTTGTATACTATATTTGAGGGTTATTCAGAA